GCTGACGTCTGTAATCCCAGCTCCTCAGGAGGCAGAGATCAGGAGTATCGAGGTTCGAAGCCAGCCTAGATAAACAGCTTGTGAGACCCTATCTTGAAATACCCATCACAAAAAAAGGCTGGTGAAGTGGCTCAAGTGGTAGAGCGCCCGCCTAGCAAGTGTGAGGCCCTGTGAGTTCAAGTCTCAGTACCACCAAAAAAAAATACACATGCTATTTTTTTTTTTTTTGCAGTATTGGGGTTTGCTTTCCTGCATTTCACCGTTGCTTCTTCCTTTTGGTTTAGAGGTGAGTGCCAGACTTAATTTGTTTGGCCTTCCCCAAAGCCAAGCTCCCTATGGCCTAGGACTCCAGGAACAAGAGGAGTAGGGTTTGCTCCAACCCTGCAGTTTCCAGAGTGCATACTGTCAGCCTCATCACAAGACCTTGTTAAAATAGGGATTCCTTCCAGGTGTGGTGATGCAGGTCTGAAATTCCAGCACCCAGAGTTGAGGCAGGAAGACGGTGAGCTCCAGACCAGCCTGTGCTACAACATGAAACCCTCAAAAAACGATCCCTCAAGTGGGCACAGTGGCATGCCTGTAATCCTAGCTACTTGGGAGGCCAGACAAAAGGATCATGGCTCAAGGCCAGTCCAGGCAAAAATTAGTGAAACCCCATCTCAATGGAAATAAGCTGACCATGGGGACTCATGCCTGTCCTCTCAGCGACAGACTGGGGAAGTGTAAAATAGGACTGCTGTCTGGGCTGGCCCAGGCATTAAGTGTAACCATATCTCCAAAGGAACCAGATCAAGAAGGGCTGGGGACTGACTCCAGTGGTAGAGCACCTGCCTAGTAAGTGCAAAGCCCTGAGTTCAAACTCCTGCACAGCTATTAAAAAAAAAAAAAAAAAGGATCCCTCTCCCCAAAAATAACTTCCTGCTGTCTCTGGGAAGCCTGTGAAGGGGCACAGGAACTCATGAACTGTTATTTGTTTCACTCTGTCTTCTTTGTTTGCTTTTAACAACTTCCTCGGAGATTTAGCTAGATGATAAAGCCAGAGGTAGAACACATCACAGGGCAAGGCTGCGCACACCTGTAATCCCGCCTACCTGGGAGGCTGAGGCTAAGGGAGGATTGCGAGTCCCAGGCCAGCCCGGGCAACATAACAAGACGTTTACCCAGAAAGAGAGAGCAAATCATCTGTTTGTCTCTCTGGGCAGAGCCGCCTTCTGGAAACGAAGGAGCTGGGACAGCCAGCGAGCACGCACGTCCCCAAAGTGAAGGGGATGGCAAGGAAGCAGATGCCATGCTGTCGCCTAGCAACCCACCTAGTGTTGCTCTGCACCCCTCAGCTACAGCCCGAGGCCAGGATTCCCGGGCCAAAACCATGCCCAGTCCCCTTCCTCTGGCTAAAGAAAGCGCTGGCATCTCAGCGGCCTTAATCCTCTCACCAGCGCCCTAGACCAGGGCTGCAGCAGACTGTAGCTCGCGGGGCCAGTCGTGAGCATGCGCAAACGCCGTGGAGTCCGTGCGCCACCTAGGGGCCCAGAGGCCTCAGAGCAACTGAGAAGTTCGGCTTCCCTCGGCCACACTCGGCTTCTAGACCCGCCTTCCGCCCCGCCCACTCCTCCCAGCACGAATGGTGATTGGTGAGCGGCGGGCTATAAAAGCGTGAGCGCGGACGCACGAGCCTTACGCATGGAGGGCGGGGATGCGGCGCGATCTATGGCGGACCGCGGGTTTCTCCTCCGCCCCCTGGCGTCGGGCTCCCTGCTCTCCTGCACTTTCTGCCCGGTACTCGGCGGTGTGGACGTGACGGGTCGCCGTCCGTGCCGGACCCCGTGCCCGGAAGGGAGCTCCCTGTTGACCCCCGGCGCGCGCAGGCTTCTCAGATGTCGCCCACAGTCACGGGCCTCCTTGTGGACGATGTCGAGTGGAGGGCGGCCCTGGGACCGGCGTCTGCGACCTCCCACCTCGGTCCTAAAACGCACCCCAGAAGGAGCGCGCCCCTTCCCCGTCTGCTGCAGTGGGAAGAGCATTTGCGGTTCTCGACACGAGGGTCCAGTTAACCCGGCCCTGTCCACCCGGTGGTGCAGAGCACGTTCCTCCTCCTGTCTGGGCTCTGGTTTCCTCCTACTGAAAAGGCAAACTCTCATAAAGGAATGTCGAGGGCCAGCAGTGAGCCCGGTGTCGGGATGAGTGCTGGGGACGCAGGCGGTCATCAGGCATGGAGCAGGAGGCAGACAGGGACCACACAGCACGGTCAGCCACACGTTTTGGGGAGCTACTGCAGGGAACAGGGAACAGGGGGAGGGAACTTAACGTAGCCTGCGGTGACTGTGGAGCTCTGAAGGATTAACCGGAGGGTAGAGGTCACACAGGAGGACAGCAAGGGTAAGATCTGGAGGGTGACAAATGCACACTGCTTACTGCAGTTCACCTTACGTACAAGGCAGAAGTGTGGGAGCTGCAGCAAGTGAACTGAGTGGGCTCGGGGCCCCACAGCCGTCTGAGCGATCCTGTGCCCACCCTGTGCTCTGATGCAAGAAAGAGTGACGATCTGACAGGGACTGTCCGATGCAGGCTGTGTGACATCTGTGATCTGACTTTGAGGGATATCTCCTTGCCCTGTTTCATTAACACTGAAAATTCCAATCTTCCCGTTGGAGCGGCCCAGGATTAGCTCAAACGGAGTTAGCCAGGCTTGCCTGAAAAGTTGAGCAGAGAGAAAACTGGCCTGTAAAGTCACAGAAGTCAAGGGTGGGTTGGTTGTTCGTTTGTTTAGGCAGTTTTGCTGTGCAGCCCAGGATTCCCTGCCTCAGCCTCCCAAGAGGTGGGGTTACAGGTGAGTGCCCCTGTCCCCCGTCTGGTCACTGAATCTTAGAAAAGCACATGTGCAGGGCAGTCATGGTAGACTGATTGCTCGGTTGGGCACTTCATCCTGCACCAGCTGTGTGAACCTGGCAAGAGCCTCAACCTCCTTAAGCAGGTTTAATATAAAAACGGGTCCTGGAGCTCTGAAAGGTAGAGCTGGGGCTGGAAGAAGGCTTGTTACTTACGATGTGTTCCGCAAGCCACGTCAATCACCTGGTCAGAATGCTACACTATGCGCTGACATCACGGGGGAGAAAGGATCTGGTGCGTTTTTATTGAAATCTGGAGCAGTTACACCAAGTTGTTTTTAATTCTTTGATTTTAAATTAGTGCTTACCTTTCCCAAAAGGCAGTTTTAAATTTTCATGTGGCTCCTTGCTTAATTTTCAGATGAGCTTAAAAAAAAGTAATTGAAGTTTGGGTTTACTAATTGTGTTGTGCAAAACATTCAATGACTTTTTGTGTCCTTCGCTGGCTTGTCATGAGTACAGTTCTCTAGGAGAGCCTTTAGCCCAATCCTGGCTTCCTGCTGACAAAGAATGAAAGGAGCTGGCCGGGTGTGGACCCAGGTATGCTTCCAATAGCCACAGGAGAGATGTGAATACAGTTTGAAAGCAGCAGAACATTCAAACACTGTGTATACTTTTGAATGACTGTGTGTGTGAAATATGAAAAACCAAACTGGTCTGACTGGGAAGGATGGAGTGGGGACGGGGTTGGGCACAGGCTTGGGCTTGTTGGACCTGGGGATCAGGGGTGCCAGCTGTGCTCCTTACATGGCACGCACAAGGCAAGCATTTGAGATGGCAAGCCAGGACAGCAGGTCTATTACCTGTGCCCGCTCCTGATATGATTTTCATTTTGCAGATGAGGCTCTGGAGTAGAAAGTAGGTGGAACTGGACTTACCTAATTAGTTTCAGACAATTCTTTGGGTTCTAGCTATATCAAGCTGGTGTTTTGGTGGCACTGGGTTTTAACTCAGCACCTCATGCTCTACCTCTCATGGCATTCCACCAGCCCTTTTTTGTTGATGGGTATTTTCAAGATAGGGTCTCATGAGTTTTTCCTGTGCTGGCTTTGAATTTCCACCCTCCTGAAGAGCTAGGATTACATGGGGAAGTCACCAGTTCCTGGTTTCAAGGTTTCTTTTAAAGGCCACCAGAGCTACATCATCATTGGGGTCTTTCTAGAGTATTTTAGTTGTCAGTAATTTGGGCAATTGAGTGTTATTTCAGTAGCCCTCAGGCATTTTCTGCTCTTCTGGATGTCCTCTCCCATGTTATGGTCTCATCACAGCCCACCTTTCTTTCCTTCGTGAGCACAAGTAGGTATGCGCCCCACAGCTACTTCAGTCTGACAGTTAAAGCCCTCAATCTGTGATTAGAACCATTTCAGTACTGCCTGGTGGACCTTCGAGATTAACAGCACTGCTCTGGACACTGTCTCCTCTCTGCTGATACACCTACAGGTGAGCTGTAATATACACCAGCTAGAGCCAAATGTGGGATTGGATGACCATACTCTTGGCCAGCCAGGGCTACATGATCGATCCTGCTATTCCACAGGTAGTTGTAGGAACTTGTACAAGTGCTCCCGAACTCTGGAGGGAGGCTCAGAGCGAGCTCTGCTTCTCTCTGCTGGTCTCATGCCCTCACCCACTAAGTGGAGACAGAAGTTAGGTTGAGTCTCTCATTTCCAGATGGCTGGCGCTAACAGGTGCTCTGAACACACACCGAGTTCCTAACAATCTCGTGAGGTGCCTTGGCACTCTGGAAAAAAAAAACTCTCCAAACACAAGCGCAAGTCTGCTCTCATTCACTTCCTAAGTGTGCTCAGCATAGTTCTGGGGTTGTACAAGGCAGGTGCCCAGGAAGCTTTCTGAAGCTGGTGTAATACTGCATACCCACCCTCTCATTGCAGGGACAAGCCCTACTAAGGCACCTGATCCTGCACCCCACCTGCACTGCCTTAGTCAGTGCCGCAATATTACCTGCCTTCTTATTAGTGTCAGGCTTGTGGAATATTCCCACCTGGTGATATGGCAGGGATAAAGCCTAGCACATTGTGACGCCGTCAAAGCGGATGCATCAGAAGCAAAATCACCTTTGCACAGCAGACTCCCAAACTATCAAACAGGACAGCAGCAGAGTCCAGCTTTTTATTGAACAAGCTGCAAAGAGGGTTAGTCAAAAAGACCAAAGCCCATGTCATCGTCAGACTCCTCAGACTCTTCCTTCTTGGCTTCCACCTTCTTCTCCTCAGCTGGGGCAGCAGCAGTAGAGGGGGCAGGACCTCCTGCTGGGGCAGCACCTGCTGCAGGAGCAGGACCCCCAGCTCCGACATTACAGATGAGGCTTCCAATGTTAACATTGGCCAGGGCCTGAAACACACATGTACATAAAAAGCTCAGTTCAGTATTTATAAAGCACTCACCCAGCCAAAAACAAGGTACTCTCCCTTTCCAACTTAAGAAACCAAGTCTCAACATAAAAAGCATTTCACACAGCTCTTGCATTGCTGTATATAAAGGCTACACAACTAACTGTACACAAACCCACACAGCCCTAAAAGTTAGAAGCTACTATTAGCTGCACTTGTCAGAGATCAGGTGACCTGTACAAGGGAAGGTGGCCAGTGTACAAGGTTCCTTGGGCAGGACCCTGCCTTACATAAACTATCTGTAAGGGGTCACTAAACCCAGGTTCCGTGAAGCCACGTGGGGTGCCATCCTGGATGGGCTTTCCTTGAACAACAGGTAGTACTGGTCTCCTGGGTAACCCCTTCTGATGATGGCCTGTGTCAGACCTGCTTTACCCTGTCACTCAAGAGGGATGGAGAGACCAGAATCTTCCAAGACTCCAGGCCGACGCCTTAACTACGTGACATAAATGCTGTGAGCTGCACTGAGGTCCCCAGGGGGCCGCGCGCACCTGACCTACCGGCCGGTCCTTCCCCACCGCTTCCTCCAACCTTACCTTTGCAAACAGGCCAGGCCAGAACGGTTCCACATTCACGCCGGCAGCTTTAATGAGGGCGTTGATCTTATCCTCCTGAAACGAGCAAAATGCCCATCAGCTTTCGCAGACAACTCCGAGACACTCAGGGGGCAATCGAGCCGCTCCAGAAGCGGCTACTGACCCGCGTTGATCCCGTCCGCGCGCCCACCCGCCTAGGTGTGGTGACACGCGCACCCCGCCCAGCGGGGAGGCCTGGGAGGCGCGGCGGAGTAGACACAGGCCGCAGGGCCGCTGAGCACGCGCTGCCCCGAGCACGGGCCGCACGTGGCCCGCGGCCGCCCCCGCCCCTCCACGCCCGGCGTCCGCGGCCTCGGCTGGGTTCCCTCACCGTGACGGTGACCTCATCGTCGTGCAGGATGAGCGCAGAGTAGATGCAGGCGAGCTCGGAGACGGAGGCCATGGTGCGGACTGCCGGGCGCGGTGCTAGTCGCCGGACGAAGTGAGAACCTCACCCCAACGCGGCCTTAGCCTCCTCGGAAGGACCGAGCACCTTGGCGGCAGCTGAGGAAAGAAAGCTGTGCGCCTGCGCGCAGCGTCTTATACGGCCACGAGGACCAATCGGCGCCCCGCACCGGGCGGAAGAGGTGGAGCCAGGGACGAGGGGCGTTTCCTGCGCAGCACGTAGGTCCCGCCGTGTGGATTCAGTTTCCCAGCGCTTGTAGGTTCCGCTCCCCGGCTTTGGGTAAAATGTAGCGCGCGGACGTTAAAAAGGCTTTTAGAGGAAGGCTTTGGCAATGGCAGGGGCTGTGCTGTGCAGGGGCCTCTTGCACTGTCGCCTAGGTAGGAGGGGACCTCCTGAAGGCGGAGCCCGCTCCCTCTTGGGAGGCCCCAGTGCTGCACCCCGCCCCCAGGGAGGTAAACACAGGAGGAAGTGGGCCAAAGTGGAGACGGAACAGGACACAAGGCGTGGCGTGTCACAGCCCGACGGGTGGTTCACCATAAATCCTTTTTTGGTGGGACCGAGGTTTGAACTCAGGGCTTCACACTTGCAGACCAGTTGCTCTACCACTTGAGCCACACCTCCGGCCCATTTTGCTCTGGTTGTTTTGGAGATGGGGTCTCATGAACTTGTTGCCTGGGCTGACCTCAAGCTGCCATGCAAAGGATCTCGCGTCCTAACCAACCGAGCAGCTAGGGTTACAGTTGTGTCCACCACGCCCGGCTTGTCATAAATTCTTAAATTAATTGCGTTAACCGATGACGAAGGAAAATCTGCAGAGCTCTCACAGACCGGAAAATCCACGTGATAAAATTCCACAACTGCTCAGAGACTTAGAAAACTGGAATAGGAAGTAACTTGCAGATCCTGATAACAGGTGGTTACCAAAGATCTAATGGTGAACCTTTTCAAACATTGCTTTTAAAGCCAGGAGCAGCCACGAGTACCTCGGTTCTCTGCTTCTGTTTCAGTTACCTCTTACAGTTTAGCATCTCTTTAAGAAACAATAGGAATCTTAAGGATACGTAGATAATATAGTTACTAGTCAGCAAGGTGTCCAGATCCAAGACGGACATACAAACCCTGCCACAACCGAACTTAAAAACAAACCTCAGCTTGGGCACAGCTCGGTGTGGAGCGGCAGGCTAGCATGGGTGAGGCCCTGGGATTGTTTTTGGTTTTGGAGGGGTTTGTGTGTGTGTGTGTGTGTGTGTGTGTGTGTGTGTTGTTGCCGGGATTTGAACTCAGGGCCTCAGGCTTGCCCACATCCCCAGCCTGAGACCCTGGGTTTGACTGCCAGCCTGGAAGAGACAGTAGGACACCTCACCCAGGAGCTCTGTATGAAAACAATGTGGCTTCTGTAAATAGCAAGAAGGCTTTTTTGTTTTGTTTTGCTTTTTTCAGTGCTCCACCTCTGAGATACCCCGGTCAAGATCATTACTTTTAAATTCATGGAAACATTCACCATCCCCGGCATCACAAAAGAACGGCAGCACTTGATGAATGTGAGAGGCAACCTGAGTAGAGCCACAGGCTACGCTCACACAGGACAGGAAGCGCACGGGGGAAACCGATCACAACTCCATGTTTCCCATGGAATCTAACAAGGTGGCCTTACCTTTTAAACGGAATTATCAAAGGTCAAAAATAAGCAGGGGATTTTAAGCAGTAAGACTTACTTAATGTAAGTTCCATCGATGGCACAGACTTTTAATTTACCACTGCATTCCTTGTGCTGCAAACAGTGCCCAGCACTGAGAAGGCACACAAATACATACATACTAGATGACTTTTTTTTCATTTTTGAGACAAGACAGGGTCTTGATGTAGCCCAGGCTGGCCTGAAACTTGAAATCCTGCTGACTCAGCCTCATAAGTGCTGGGATTATAGATGTTTGCCACCATGCTCTGAGTATACTGGATGAATTTTAGAATGTGTATTGTTATGCAAATGGACCAGCAGAACAGAGAACCAATAAGTACACTGTCACACATGGGAACTTGGTGATATCAGAAGTGTAGCTTTACAAATCCAAGGTGGGGGTACTTAAAAAATTGTACCGGAGAACCTGGGTGTGGCTCAGTGTTGGAGTGCCTGAGGTCCTGGGTTCAATCCCATGCACTGCCACAAATCAAAAACAAAAGCGTCATAATCAAAATGGAAAAGAAAAGTCACAGATTGGAAGATCTGAAGCTTAAATCCAGAGTTTGTAAGGAAATCCTGAAGCTGGGGATGTTCAATCCCCAGAATTGGAAGAAAAAAAAAAAAACAAGCACATAAAATCCAGCATAAAAAAGTCCTACACACCAAAAAGTCAGAGGACTAACAACTAGTTACATGCAAAGATACCAGTAAACAATCCAGAGACCCCAAACTGGCCACTCAACACAGCCCAAGGCCCCAGAACTCACTGAACCATCAGGAAACAGAGCTGATCACCGGGACACCATTTCACGCCATCAGTGCACGAAACAGCTCATCACACCAAGTGCAGGAGAGTACGAGGAACGAAACTACCCAATAGTGCTGGTAGAAACGATAGACTGGCAACTCACTTTGAGGAGGAACTTTGTGAAACTGGTTAAAGCTGTTACATGCCAGCCTAAACTAGAAATTGTGGTCTGGTTTCTACCAGACACACTCGGGGCTGTGTGGAGAGGGTCCGAGCGCGAGGCTAGTCCCTGCCCTACTGTCGAAGGAAAAGTGCAGACGCTCTTAGAGGGGTAGACTGGATAAGAAGCAAGGAGTCATCCGGTGGAGCGAGTCGGAGGAGTCAGTCAGTCCCGCCTTTTGCTTCTCCATACTGTTTCCTTAAGTGCTTTTGGGTCGAAAAAAATCATACAATTTAAAGCTTGGAGATGAAGACACTGAATTTTAACTAAGATCAATCATGTAAGAAATTAGTTAAGCTATTTTAGAAAGGTCAAACAGCATGGTTAAGTTGAGAGCTGTGATGGTAGACGAGGGTCACTGAGCAAGTAACTCAGTCTATTTCTTCACCCTACAGGTGTTACAAGTAATCTTTCTACTGGGTGCGGGTTCTTCTGCAGCAGTGTGGTGAGAACCATTTCAGCAAAGCGTGGATGGCACATGCACAGCCCGCTGTCGTACAAGGGCTTAGAGGGTTCCATACAGTTACTGCAGATCCCACTATCCCACAGTCCCTTACCACAGCGAGAACCTCCTACAAAAATGTTTTCAGCCGGTGCCGGTGGTTTACGCCTGTAATCCCAGCTACTCAGAAGGCGGAGATCAGGAGGATCATGGTTCAAAGCCAGCCCAGGCAAATAGTTCATGAGACCCTATCTCGAAAAACCCTTCACAAAAATAGGGCTGGTGGAGTGGCTCAAGGTGAAGGCTCTGAGTTCAAACCCCAGTACCACAAAATAAAATGTTTTCGAGGGGTGTGAGATAAAGGAGAATGGTGGAGGAGATGAATTCAAGTATGACATATTTGACATATTGTAAGAACCTTTGTAAATGCCACAATGTACCTCCAGCCAGCACAATGACAATAAATGTTTTAAAACTGGGCATGGTGGTACATGCCTGTAATCCCAGCACTCAGGAGGCTGAGGCAAAAGGATTGAATTTGTAGGCCAGCTTGGGCTACATTAGCAAGACCATATCTTAAAAAATAACTTTAAAAATGGCAAATTAAAGCCCGTGGTGTCTACTCGGTAAGATTTAACCTTCGCTGCTTGCCCACACACGACACTGTTTACTGCCAAACTATGACAAGTACACTTGTCTTTTTCCTTCACCTTTTGGATCTGCTTCTGGCCAGAACTAATGTCACAGTCTCACTAGCAAAACAGATTAAGCTATTATTTTAAATAAACTCAGCCCAAAAGAGATTGAAATCTAATGAGAAAAATGTGTATTCACCTAAGCCAGAACGGATGCTTTGTGAGTTTCACTAGTACTTTTTATAACTTGTTCCTAAGCCATGATGCTTACTCAGGTGTCTGGAACATACTTTATATGTAGAAATTACACCTATCATACAAAATAAAAAGGGATCGTTTGCCACGTGTGGTGGCATACACCTATAATCCCAGCACTTGGGAAACTGGAGCACGAGGATCATGAGCTTGAGGCCAGCCTGAGCTACATAGCCAGAACTGTCCATTTAATGTCAAAGTATTCAGTTTTCCAGGGCTTTCTTCTCATTCATCCCACAAATGACACATGCCAGGTTAACAGAGCACGGTGCTCGGTGCACAGTGTAGGCAGAGTGAATGACCACCATCACACAACTCTGTATTTCTTAGTGATTTTTATTTCAATTCTTTTTGCAGGAAATGTCAGAAAATGAATATATACATACCAAATTCCAAATCCCCAAACAGTTTTCCCATTGGCCAGTCACTGTGCATTGTCAAGCATGTGTAAAGTGCATTCTTGCAGCTAGTCAACAGCTGCGTTTGTTCTGCTTATAAAACCAGAGCTGGAAAAGTTACAATAAAAAAGTGTGATCTAGATATTTTCTTCCTTAATTACCCAAGCAAAACACTTGGTTGAATTAGTTTATAAGTGTACAAGAAATATACAAAAAAAGCACTGTTTAAAAAAAGTTCATAGAGCAGTACAAAAGGGGGGTGGTTCCTCTGCTATTAACATTAAATATGGCAAGACATGTGACACAAGAAGTGCGGGTCCTGGCTATCTTTGGAACTGGGGAGCATTTTGTTCTAGGCCACTGTATGAAGCAGCTGAGGTCAGTCCTGTCACGCAGAGCTGGACTTCTGCAAGGTGACTCAGAAGACTGTTCTGGCAAGTTTTGCAGAAATGCACATGAAGGGGACGCTCTTTTGCTATACAGGACTGTCGGTTCATGGCTTCTTGCGCCTAAAATAAAAACTGGCATTTGAAATCAAGTCCTGCATTTAGTGACACAGTTGTGACAAATGAGTCTTTAGGAGAACTTCGAGAATTGCTTTTTTATCATAGGGAAACCCAAATCCTTCTGAGAAAGCAAGCAATCGCTATAGCAGGATCAGTTGACAACAGGACTTCCCACCCTGTCCTGTGCAGGTATCTAATTGCCTAAGGAATCCAGGAGTTAAAAGTGTTGTAGAGACAGGTATTTATAAAGAATGGGTTTTACTAAACTGTGGAAAAAGAGGTCAGGTTCCTGAAAAGAGATGTGTGATTCCTTGTCTACTGCAAACTCTGACATCCAGTCTTTTCACACTTGCTCCTACATCAAGACCGAGAGGCCAGTGAAGAATGAAGGAACGAATCCCAGCTCAGCCTCAGAAGGCGGAAGCGCAACAGAGCTGCCACAGCGTCCCAGGCGGCCGGCCACATCTGCCCTTGAGAATGAAGTGCGGGGTGGTAACCCAGCCACGGTACTCACTTGGGTTGTGCATGGTGCTGGTATCCAGGTCCCAGCTGAGATCCTGCTCTCATCTCCACGGCCACAGAACACTAGAGGAAAGGGACAAGTCCATAAACACTTGTTTAGGTGAAAGCAACACTGCTCTCAATTCAGTAGACACGTGCAATTCAAGGCCACAAGACTGGGAGCAAGAAGGGTCTTTGGAGATCGTCCAAGCAACTTCTCTCCTTTTAGATAAGGAAAGTTCTTGAGAAGCCAGGGCTAGGGCCAGGTGTGGCCTCCTGACCTACACCCGCTTCCTTCCTTAGAGCCTCTCCTTGAGTAAAGCTCAGGAGGCAACACTGGCGAGCTGCCTATAGAAGATTCCCACCTGCCTGCTGTTACTCATTGCTCCTGAGTGACACGTTCGGGCTCCATTCCTGAGCCCTGTCCCTGACACTGAAAACAAGGGCTCTGAACTGATGACCTCTCGAGTAAGACAAGATCAAAAGCAATGCAAGCGCCCTACACGTGTGTGAGCAACAGGCCTCCAGGCTGCACTGGCAGCTGAGAACCTGCCTCAGCATCTTCAATGAGCAGAAAGAGCTACTGCCAGGGAACTGAAAGCACAACACACCTAATTTTTGGCAAGCAAATACTTAATGTTACCCCTACCCTTGTTTCTACATCAGTCCATTCAGACTCTGTACCATCAGGCTGGGCAGGTACCATCGTGGCCGATCTTCGTTTCCGACTACTGCAGAAGGGGAAACACAATGCAAGGAAGAACAGGAGAAATGTGAGGAGCAGGGACTCATCTACACCCCCGATGAGAACTGTGATCCACTTCACGAGAACAAGGAGCCCTTACAGAGACAGCACTCACCCATTTGGTAATTCTTGTTTTAAAGTCTCAATATCAGTGAACTGAACAGACTGTCCACCACCTCGTGTTTTAAAAACATCACCCTAAAGCCAAGAGAAAAGCCCACTGTTACACTTTGACACATCCAAATGACAGACACACATATATTTCAAATTCATCTCAAGAACTGACTCTTAGGCAAACTTCCACCCACAAACCAAATGGTGCTGGGACTGCAGTCTGTGCTAATCAAAATACTTGTGACGTTTGAGTCCATCCTTCTCCTCACTAAACAAAAGTCCAAACCTGTAACAAGTAGCATTCCAAATTGTTCTACCTGTAATTTAAGGATCAAGAAACGTACACATTTCTACCTGCTCCTCTTGTTTCATTTAGTTTGGGTTTTTGGTTTTAAGCTAAGTTCTCTCCATGTTGCTCAGGCTGCCTCATCCTCCCGAGTGCTGGGATTAAAGCATAAGCCACCATGCCCAGCTGAGGTTTCATTTTGCGGGGGACAGATAGGTAGCTCTCCATGGTTTTTGAAACAGGATCTCACTATGTAACTCAGGCTGGCTTCAAACTCCCAATCCTCCCACCTCAGCCACCTGAGTGCTGGGATTACAAGCAACACTTGGCTAGGTTTACATTTAAAGTAGAAAAAGTATATCATGGGTCTGGAATTCCAAGAAATCCAAAATATCTCAGCCTATTTAAGCAAACTTATCCCAGTTTAGCAGATTCACAACCTAAGTGGCTATTTTAATTTTCTGCTACCAAATATTTATAAGGCTGGATGTGATGATGCACACCTGTAATCCCAGCTACTCAGAAGGTAGAAAGAGGGAGGATCCTGGTTTGAGGCCGGCCCAGACAAAAAGTTAGGGCACCCTCAACAAAAAAACCTGGGTGTGGTGGTGTGTGTCTGTAATTCCAGCTACTTGAGGCAAAAGTAGGGGAATCAAGGTTCAGGCTGCTCACAGCCAAAATTGAAAGGCCCTATTTCAAAAACAACAAAAAAAAACAAACAAACTACGTTAGACATGCGTTTAGGCTCCAAGTGTCACTGAACCAGGAGCAAGGTAACTGTTTCTTCCGCAGGTGCTGAATACATCTTATACCTTAATCAGCTTAGTCTCAATCTCCCCGTCGGAAGCTAGTTCCTGGTGGGTCAGCATGTACTTCTCACACTTAGCTAGAGCCTTTTCATTTGCAACAGACACGGTGATGGCGTGCGGGACGTGTGGCTGCATGACTGTTTCAGTCTGCACATTAGAGGCAGGCTTGTGATCTACCCATCTGTCCCCAGCGGAGCGCGACCGTCGGTGCCGGACACGGATTGGGGTGCAGTCTGATCAGTTGAGAGAAGAACGAAGAGACAAGCACAGCCCAGGATTAATTTAAGAGATCTATCAGAAGAAGTGCAGCAGGTCTGGCTATGTTAGTTGACAGTATCAGACCAATCTTTTCAAAAGCTAAATGTTATTTACGTAATTTAAACATTCTCTTTGTAATTACACACAGAACCAACAAGCATCTTTTAACGGCAGCTTGTGCATCCTTTGTTCTACCTGGGAGCTTCCCTTTCAATGAAAGGTGAGAGGGAAAGTTCTAGCGGTGCTGCTGGTAGCTCAGGATGAATTATTTATTTTGTATTCTTGATATAAAACCAGTAATTATAGGCTGGGGTTGTGGCTCAACGTGGTAGAGCGCCTGCCTAGTAAGCATGGGACCCTGAGTTCAAACCCCAGTACCGTACACACGCAAAAGAAATCAGTAATGATGCTTGCTTTTGTAAGGTAACCTATAGTTCAGCAACTGTGTTAAAGGCGCAGACGAAATCACTGAGAGCTCTACAGGTGTCCAAGGCATCTCAAGAGGGGACACTAAGAGCCCTACAGGTGTCCTAGGCATCTCAAGAGGGGACATGTTCTGCATTCAAAGACAGACAATACACAGCATAAAAGATGTTAAACTGTGTAGTACAAAAGTACTGAGGAGCTAGCGCTGGTGGCTCACGCCTGTCATCCCAGCTACTCAGGAGGCAGAGATCAATCAGGAGGATTGCAGTTCAAAGCCAGCCTGGGCAAACAGTTCGCAAGACCCTATCTCGAAAAATCCCTTCATAAAAAAGGGCTGGCAGAGTGCTCAAGGTGTAAGGCTCTGAGTTCAAGCCCAGTACCTCAAAAAAAAAAAAAAAACCAAAAAACAAAACTGAGGAACACAGGTTTCCCATGTACGAGATTAAAAACAGTGTAAATACTTCTGAGCACTTGCAATGAACATTTTAAAATCTCAAATCGACTTTATGAAACATTCAAAGACAATAAATGGCTAAAATATGCCAACCAATTTTCCCTAAAACATTCCCTAACGGTTCCAAGAATCGTACAGAATAGGGTACCAAACCTGTCTGTCTTATATAAACACCTCTTGCTTCCAGTCAAATGCCATGTACACCTGGGAAAGTTAAACTTGGCACACTCAGCCTGAGAACAGCTATGTCACACATGACACAGTTAGTAGCTGGAAGCATTCTTGTGAGCGTTCTCTTTATAAAACTGAAGCAAGTGGAAGCATCTACTACAGGCCAGGTCAAATACAAAAGTCCCAGTTTAAAACGCCCATGTAGAGGACAGATTGTTTCCCTCTGAAGTTAAAAGAGATACGCAGACCTTCACAGAGCAAGCACGGTCAGTAAATCTGCCATGGAGACGCTGAGCCCCACGCAGGGAGGACACCTTGCGCTCTGGAAACGGTTCCATGAATGTTGTGCTCTTACCATCTGTCTTTAGCAGAGTGAATTTTCCTGAACACACTTGGCGTAATATGTTCTGAGACAAACTTTGGAAAGGTGACAGCCTAGACAATCTACTAGCATTCAGGAGACAAATATTTGAAAATGTTCCCTCATTGAAGTTATAACATTTAGTCTACCTAACAATGTTTGTTGCACAAAGCTGGATGCGCGGCTGCCACCCACTGCATGGTAACCTTCCTGCTGCACTTCTAAAGAGATTATGACTTCAAGTGAGAACTTAGAGTCTCTAGTAAACCCTCTTAAATATCTGCTGGCCAGGTATAAGCAGACCTGGAATGGTTTTAGCTTAAACATTCATGAAATAAGGGGATTGACTAGAGTGAATCAGAAGGACCAGTCACATGATTTGTTTGTTGAAAAGGCATCAGGTAAAATCTGCAGTCAGAATCAGAGTTCAGAACCATCACTACCTGCTAAGTGCCCTCACTACCCAGGTAATCAGAACGCAGGCCACCCCATTGAGCTGGCTCATTGGTCTCCATCCTAAATTACATAAGAGAATCTTAGGCAAGCACTATGAGATTCATTTGTTTTCAACAACTCTATGTTAAGATTTTACCAATTTTTAAATCAACATTAACTTGGTGATTCAAAGGAAACTTTATCCTGATCTTTAAGAAAAATATGGAAGCAAATTTATTTAAGACATCCTTGTGACTTAAGATGAAGGATTTGAGGTTAAAAACAATTTTGGGGATATGAAAAGCATCTGTGGGGCTGGAGGTGTGGCTCTACCAGTGCAGCACCTGAGTTCAAACCCCAGCAGTACCACCAAAAAACCCCAAAAAACATCCACAGCTTCAAAACTAATCTAGGACTCTTCAAAATAGTCATATCATGTAAACCAAAAAGGGGAAAACATATTTTGTACTAAACAGACTGAAAAAACATAATTTAACGTGCAACACATTTACTGTGGCAACACTGAAAGTCACTACTGGGGCAGCTGGGGAAGTTGGCAGGTATTTATCCAGTTACTACTAACTTCCTTGGACATGATAAAGACTGTTCTGTAGGACAATGTCTTAACTTTAGGGAGAAGTAACAAAGTCTAACTGACTTTCAAGACTTGGGGAAAATGCTCAGATAAAATAACAACTGGAAAAACTAGGTGGGAGGAGTCGCCATACCATTCTTTCAACTTCTCTTTGGGTTTGAAACTTTTCAAAATAAAAGTTTGAGAGACTTTTAAAAGGATTCTTTCAAAAGCACTAAGAAAAAACTTTCAATTAAATTTGGGGAAGGATAACCAAAGAAAAAAATCTGAGCATGTGCTCTCACACACTCCTGCTCAAGTGTGAGCTCAGCACACGTGAGGGGAACTAAGAAGGCACAGGTTCATATCCCATGTCTGCTCACACACCAGCGCATGAGGAGGTAGAGGTTCACTGTGGGAAGTGCTCCAGAGCTCACATAGCATCCATCACCTCTGCTACCTGCTGTGTTTGCGCTTTTTCAGGTGAGGAACTCGGCTCCAATTTCAGGGTGACTCAAGCTCTCAAACTGACAGAAAGTTGGACTTGTTGACCCAACCACCTTTCCATTGGACTTTGGGGACCAAGTTACAAAAGGCAAAGGCAATGAACTCTCTCATCCCGCGCTTCAGCAAACATAGCGCCGGCACCAACCCTGCAGCACTGGTCCTCTTCTACTTGCACCTCACTTCTGGAGGCAGGAACCACCTCCCTGCCTTCAGTCCAGCACATGCCCCGCCTTCTGTCTGACACGACACAAGTTTTACTTTGTCCTGGCTCCTGCTGCCTACGCCTTGCAATAGAGGTGACAGTGACAGGTGTGCTGTACGGAGGAATTTTCTGCTCCCATTCCGAAACACAGGAAGCTACAGAAATGCTGCTGCAAGAGTTAGAACGCCTATGTAGCTGCGGCTGGCTCATGAGTTGTTGGCCGTTGGAAATCTGAGCAAGATAGTTACTAGAAAGCTAGAAAAATTGAGAAAAATTAATGACCAAGACTGAAAAACCGAGAAACAGTTCATCACTTATCTACAATTTTAGCACATGAAGACTTAACATTGTACAAAGTTACTAAACTTTTTTGTACTAAAGTTTTTGTTTACATTAGGTTTAAAAACTTTTAAATAAAAAGTTAATAAATATAAAACAAGCCAAAAAAGATATTCACAGAAACAGTAACGAAAGAGCCGGAGGTGAGGCTCAAGTGGTAGAATAACTGCTTAGCTAGCATAAAGCCCTGAGTTCAAATCCAGTACCACTAAACTAAACAAAATAAAAGTAAAATAGAAACAGTCATCTAATCTGAGCGAGTTTCCCTGGCACTAAGCCACTGCCCGTCTGCAGACAACTCACAGGCATAGGGGCTGGGGACACGGATCTCTGGGCGGCCTTTTCTCGGTCCCGCTCCCGGGAGGGTCTGTCTGGCTTCTCGGCTTTGGGCTCGGTAACGATGGCCTTTAGCTGTTTCAGTTTCTCATCTTTGACCCAGAGTTTATTCTGCATCTCCAGCTGGGTTGCTGCCACACGCCGCTCCTACAGATTAGCAATGGCAGGTTACAGTCCAATTCAGTCATCCCATGCAATTCACCAAATTAATTACCCACTTTATTTCCAAAAAGTGACAGTTCTTCAGTTCTTCCTAGATGAATGAACACCAGCAGAGCCCACCATGAGTACGAATTCAAATACTCAGGTGACTACAACTTGAGAAGGAGAAGCATGCAGGACAGGCCCGACACTCACACACTCTTTCTGCCACTTCATGCTGGTCTCTGTCACCATGCCTTGCAGCCTGGCTTCCAGCCTGCGCTTGTCTGAAAACTGCCGCTGGAGCTTCTGGTTCTGGGTCTCGAGCTCCTGCTGGAGGTTACGCTTGTCCTCTTCATATATGGTTGTAGTCTTCTCTAAAATCTCAATCTGGGGAGGGAGACCGTGATGGCCAATATTTGCTATGCAGACATTATAAATTCATCTTTCTTAATTTGTTCATGGACACACATTGATGGAAAGAAAAATAACAGAGAAAGTACTTTTTTCTCTAAAATTTCCTCTGACTCCCCACCTCCATCCCAGAAAGGAGAACTTCTGGAACAAGCTCTTCCCTGAAAGATGAAGTTATGACTGACTTCACATGAAAATTCCTTCCTTAAAGTTACTAATGGCCTAAACATAGTTTCTCAGGCTACTTTCAGAATAGAGAAAGCTGCACTGGTTGAGGCCAGCTTCTCTCTCGTGTGAACACACACCTCCACCTCCCCTGCCTCAAACCCCCAAGTAAGCCTGTGTGAATCAGAGAAAAAACATACTACACAGGGCTGCCATGCTCCCCAAAACATCATTTCCTCTGCCTCACAGGAAGACCCATTCACCCGGTATCTGTTATACCCAAGGCATCATGCCAACATTTGTACTATCTCATTTGATTATTTCATGTGTTTTTTTATTTTTTTAAAACGCACAGGAGCTGGGTTCTGGTGGCTCACGCCTGTAATCCTAACTACTCAGAAGGCACAGATCAGGAGGATCGCAGTTTGAAGCCAGGCCCAAGCAAATAGTTCACACAAGACCCTATTTTGAAAAAACCCTTCACAAAACAAAACTGGTGGAGAGGCTCAAAGTGCAGGCCCTGAGTTCAAACCCTAGTTCCACAGGAAAAAATTTTAAAAAAAGCCCATGGAGGATGTATTTCAAATAAATCAAAAACAAGGTATCATCAAAGCTAAACTCAGTCTTCTAGAAAGTCTACTACTAGTTAGCCAGGCATGGTGTTACATGCCTAGAATCCCAGGACTTGGATGGAAGGCCAAGGCAGGAGGAGCATGAGTTTGACTGTGTTTAAAAAGGAAGGATGGAGAGGGAAGGGGAGGGGAGTGAAGGGAAAGCAAAGCAAGTAAGGCCATTGTTTGTGCTAGAGAGCACCCTCTTTTATTGCTAAGCTCGAACTCTTGAAATTAAAGACTATACTATCCTTTCCACCCTTTGCCTTTCACTCCCATCTTGGTTCTCTGGTGTGGGATGCAGTTAGTAACTACCTAACCTGGTGCTAAGTTACTAGGCAGCATGAAGAGGTAGGTGTGAGGTCAGTACACGACTGTAGTGTGAGGTAGTGTAAGAGCAGCACACACACAATTATAAAAGCATAACGAACCTTATATTCTAAAGTTTTGTTTTTCTTTTCCAGTCGTTCTATTTCCAATTTCTGTCCTGAGATCAACTTTTCTTTTTCATTCAGTTTTCCTTGAGTGTAGTTTTCCTTATTTAAGATGGCATTATCAAATTCTTGTAACAAAGCTTTAAAAGTATTAGCTGAAACAAAAGTATGCAGACCAAGTTTTACTACAGATTCAAAATAACCAATGAAATCAGCTTTCAGAGCAGACACTGGAGACAACACAGCTACCCAGCAAAGCTCTGACAATCAGTCTACAAGGAGAAAACAAACGTGGAAAGTAATCAGGAGTCTGGGGCTAGAGATTTAGCTCAGTGGTAGAGTATCTGCATAGCAACTACAAGGCCCTGAGTTTGGTCCCCAGCACCAGGGGGAAAAAAAAAAAGGCTTCAGCGTTTGATCATCAAACCTAGGAGACATTCGTAGAAGCGTCTGTTCAATAATGAGAAAACACTGTCTTTCATTGTGCACCACAGGATCCTCCTCTTGTGCTCACAGGTGCAAAAGCACAAGTAACTCCAGATCTACGATTGGCTGAACCTGAGCTGAGACCCTGGCGCACTGCCTGTGGACCAGCTGTCCACTACTCTACAGGACCTTTAACACCTCATCTCACCTCCCAGCCTCCCAAGGAGGGATAGTCACAATCCCCATTCTGTAGGCAAAGAAACTAAGAACTACTCCCTGTGTCCATCACTGTTAATTTTAAATAAGCAAAAAAAAAGCAGGTGGGATACACACTTTTTTCTTTTGTTTGACTGTCGTAGAACATAAACTGCTGTGGGGGAAAAAAACATCTTGACGAAATAGCTGTTCCTGAGCCACTCTTCCAGTTTCCAAAGCTATAATGACAGCAAACGGTAACACACAGCTGGTTTTGCCCTTACACTGCTTGTTAAACTCCTCGATCATAATCTGTCGTAAGTGATATCGGTTCTCCAAGGCTTCAATCAGCCGGGGAAGAGTCTGCTCATCATTGACATCCAAAATCTCACACGATGGCAAAGGCGGGAAACTCTGCAACACCACTTCAGTGACCAGTGGTTCTGTATTGAATTACAGAAATAAAAGTTATGCATGAGACCAAGAGCGTAAACAAGCCTGACACTGTGATTAAGCCCAGAACAATCAACAGTGTAACTTCCTCATTTGTCACAGTCTTAAAAGCTGGAGGCACAGCATGCCACAGTGCTTTGCACTGACTCTGGAGAATGGATATAACTAGCTCTCTTACACGAAAGAGACTTCTTTCTGATTAGATCAGAGCAACCAGGTCAGTGACATAGCACCAAATCCTACCATCTCCCGTCGGGCCTCCTCGAGCCTGGTTTCGGTACCGCCGGCCAGGTGTTAAACCACAGATCACCTTCTCCACTGGCCTGGCTACTTCCACTTCTTGGGTTACTTCCGCAAATCTCATGACTTGCTAAAATACAAAGCAATGGAGTTTTCCAAAAATAAGTACATCCAAGTCTGTGTCAATTTTAAAACTCTACATTCCCACAGCTGTTTTGCCCAGAGGAACTCTACTTCACAGGGTAAATGGGTTACAGTTACCAAGCTTTCTTCATAGTCTTCGGCCTTCGGATTCACACAGACGATCATTCGCACTTTTCCTTCCCCGTCAAAGTAGTTCTTGAACAGATGGGTTAACTTTGAATCTCGATATGGAACCATCTAAAAAGACATCCAAACGCTTTAAGTACATAAGGCAGAAACTGCACAGAGGAAGGGACACACGAGTGAGCGAAGGCTGAGCCCACCTTGTTAGTGCCGTACATCTGGTTTTCCCTCAGAACTTCTATACACGTTCTCAGCGTCATCAGTGACTGGTTAATGTTACCTACAGGAAGATAAACAGGGAAGACATTCAGAGAAGCAGCAGAGCTGCTGAAGGGTGTCTGTGTACCTGCCACATGTCAACTTCACAATTATTAGAAATCATACAGGTTTCACAGCTCGACTTAACAGCCATCCATGCATGGCTCAGGGCGTCTCTTCAATACTGTTATTTTTGAATAGCTGAATAGCCATCCTTCAGGGACCCTAGCCAAAGGATTCTCCACCGAACACAGCACAGCATTTAATGCCTCAAAGGGTTTCTTTCACATCCTAAATTCTGTGGAGGACATTAGGTGCAGATGTTTATTCGTTTTCTTATTTCTTTTTTTCTGGTGCTGGGGACTGAACAAAGGGCCTGGTATGTGCTAAGCACGCCCTTTTACCACCAGGCTATACGCCCACAACACAGGTGTTCGGTTTCCTCAAATTACAATGTTTTCTCTTTTAAGACATGACCATTTCAGGCTTCCATGGCTCTGTCAAGAGTCTGAGATGATCCCTCAAGTGCCTCAGGTGCCAGCTAAGCTCCACATCACAACAAGGATTCTTAGGCAGCACCCTTGCTGTTTCTGACCAATCATACTTGGATGTCTGAGCCACAGCCAAGGCAAGTCTGGTCATTAATCAGGCCTCTCACCAGATTAGAAAAGTGTGCCAGAACACATTCATTTTGGAACCTTGGTTAAGGTTGCTAACACCCCCATGCTTTCATCATTGGCCTCCCAAACAGATGATTTAGAGGCTAACTTTAATGGCCGATGCTATTTCTTTAGTTATGCTAGTTCAGTACTAGTCTAAATTATCTAAACTAAAGACCATTATGCTTAAACCACCCACTGATGAGTCTGTAACAAACTGGCACTGCAAGTTCTTGAAAGTTGTAGCAGTAAGTGAGTACAAAGCTTCACTCACCAGCTTCACGTAATCTGTTGCCCTCAGCTTTGGTGCGGTTAGTTCTTTCACTTCCAGCAAGATCTACCAAGGATAACTGGCTTATTGTGATTTGTTCTTTCTCCTGAAAGGGACAAACCCAAAAGCCTAAAATAAGTTACAAATGGTTTACAATGTGTGGTGGCTTATGTCTGAAATCCCAGCACTCAGGAGGCTGAGGCAGGAAGATCAAGAGTTCCAAGCCAGCCTGGGCTATACACAGAAGATCCTGTCTCAAATAACATAAAACCAAACAAAAATCCAAGTTATGAAGTCTTAATGAATGTAATATTTGCAAGATACAAAATACACAGGAAGGTATAGGATACATTTTTCTGTGTGTGTGTGTTACTGAGGTTTGAACTCAGGGCCTACACCTTGAGCCACTCCACCAGCCCTTTTTGTGACGGGTTTTTTCGAGATAGGGTCTCACAAACTATTTGTCTAGACTGGCTTTGAACTGTGATCCTCCTGATCTCTACCTCCCGAATAGCTAGGATTATAGGAGTGAGCCACTGGAACCCAGCAAGGATACATCCTTTAGGAGAGTCTGCTAAAAGCATATGATAAATCATGAGGCAGGAGAACTGTAAGTTCGAGGTCAGCCTGTAATCTTGTCTCAGAATTAAATAAATTTAAAAAAAACCACATACGCGTGCATGTTAACTGATCACTTGTCTACTGTCTGGGCTTCTTTCTCCAACCAGACATCAGACTGTAAGCTCCGTCAGAACAGGGAACTCAATTAATATCTGCTGAATAAAAAGTGGGTCTATAAAAATTTTCTATAATTGGGGATTTAATAACCTGGGGCTGGAGAAGTAGCTTAGAGAGTGCTTGCTTAGCAGAACAAGGCCCCACATGAAAAAAGCACCCAATAATTTCACAGTATTCTAAATAATTTTCATAAAAAAAATAGAAGGTCAAGAGGTACCTACCTGATAGTATAACACTAGAAGTAATACAAATCTCTAGTGCCAAAAAATGAATAAAAATAAAGTGATCTGAAGGAAATCAAGTGTACATGGAAAGTTGATTAATAACCATTTCCCGGCTAACATTTACTGAGCACTTACTGTAGGCCACCTACTGGACTAAGAACTTCATACGCATTACCTCATTGATTTCCCACAATCCTGTGAGGTGGTTCTATTACAGTTAGGTCAGACAGCTGGTAAATAAGTAGGAATAAGAATTCAAATCCTGGTGGGCCTCAGAACCGTCTCCTTCCACCACCCATAAACTTGCACAATGTCACAAGTTCATGATGCAGTTTGAATATAATTACACTTTAAGAGCTAAAGCTATTAAATTATGTACACTCAGCCAGACATAGTGGCCCAAGACTAATACTAGCTACTTGGGAGGCAGAGATCTCTGGCCTCACAGTTAGAGGCCAGCCCAGAGGAAAAAGTACACAAGACCCCGTCTCAACCAATGGCTGGAGACAGTGGTGTGTGCCTGTCATACAAGGTAGGTATGGAAGCAAAAATAGAAGGTTGCTCTCCAGGCCAGCCTGGCCTTCAAGTGACGCAACAATCTAAAAAATAATCAACAGAGAATGGACTGGCAGAGTGACTCAAGTGGTAGAGCACCTGCCTACCAAGTGCAAGGACCTGAGTTCAAACCCCAGTACTGCCAAAAAAAAAATTATGTACACTAACACCTAAGCACTGTTAATAGCTGATATAAGTGCTATAGCATGACAGGTCCAGACGTAAGCAGCAGTGAGCTGGTGGGGCCCTAATGACCCATCTGCCAAGGGAGGAGCAATTCTGAATATTGCCACCTTCTGAACTGTACATACCCTGGAAAGTAAGCTGCTGACGCTTAAAGCTCATTTACTAATGCTCCACAGACAAAAACAGTCATCAGAGATGACAAATTAACTACCCATTCTTATCTGTAAGAAATGTTAAAGATCTGTGAACCCTTTCCATACTTCCTAGTGACACAGTTTGACAGCACCTGGCCACACACATCAATTCTAGAGCAATCTTTACTGCAGTGCCAGCTCCACAACCTAACTCTGATTCCAAAAATGAAGGGCTGAGTCAGAACACAAAAGGACTGCAGCACTGCAACTGACCTGTAGGACATTGTCTCCATCTGCGTCCAGGGGGGCCTGGGCCAGCTTAATGTTGAAGACGCTGTGGGAACGGCTGGACTCACGGTTCAAGTGTGTGTTAGCAATGCGCCTCCTCTTCTGCCCTGCAACGACAGAGAAGCTGCTGATTATGCCATTGTACCTGCTTCCCGATACGCCAGAAAGGATGGCGGCTGTCGGATGACGGAAGCCGCCGCAGGTCATAAACTGCCATTTTATATTTCCTATTCCAGCTCTGCTTCTGACCTCTCCAGAAAACTTCAAAGGCCTCCTCAGTAGACTTCACTTCTACTTCTGTGCATCCTGCCACGTACACGTTGTGGTTCTTGTCTTCTCGGAGCATTTTAGATTGTGGAAGTCTACGGGAGAGAAAGGAGATGAGCTGCCTGAACTCTGAGATGCTAACATCATCACTTAGGACTAGGACTCAAATGCCAGACAACCTGGCATCCGTCCCTTAGTGGGACATTAAGACCCAGGGGAAATGTTAGGACACACAGTCAAGATCAATTCAACAGGAGCCGTTCCTGTCTTCAGACAAAGCAGTGGGACACCCACAGCGACTAGAGGCCACAGCAGCATCACAGCAGTGCCACACGCACAGGCAGCCAGCACAAGTAAGCGTTCCCTGTTTTTAAAGGATCAGGAGACAGAACTGATTCTGAGCTCCACAGCACTGGCAGAAAACAAATTCAAGAAGTTTTCAGTTTACAGTGGTGGGTGAGGGCACCGTCTGTTCAGATTCATCTCTCGAGAATGTTGAGGGGGAAGACACCACCAGCATAGTCAATGGTAGCTTTTTCCCAAAGGCAAGGAGGGCTTAAAGGTAGTGGCCAGCCCAGTGCCAATGAAACACAACCTATGTACAAGCATGCACAGATGCCGCCCACTAGTACAACTGCACCCTTTTCTCTAAAAAAGAGCCAACAGCATCTACATACACAAAATCAGTGCTCCTCATGGGGGTGCTGCAACTGTTCCACCGATCAAAGGAATAAGGGAGACGTTACTGGTCCACAGTGGCCATCTCACAACATCACAGTCTAGACTTGCAACAGTCACAGTGAGTCACATCTTAAAAATCCTCCACTTGTAAGATTTCGTTGCACTAAAAACCACTAAGACTCAACAGTTCAAAAAAGCAGGCCTAACAGCATCCCGACAAATTAAGTCTGAATTCAGTGCCAAACAACCACCCTGTAATTTCAGGAAGGTGCTCAGGAAGGTCATAGACACACAGGGTACTCTCACTGCTATCCTTTGCAACTAAGCTAAACCAAGCTAGGACCCTATGAAAACAATCTCCAACAGGACAAATCAAACAAGAACCTGGAACACAGGCAGGCATGAAAGTAACTGATGGTGATAAATGACATCAAAAAGGTTTAGGAAAATGGATACAAACAGAATTGGATCCTCACAGCTAACAGTTTGAAACAAATGAGAAACTGATTTAAAAAAAAAAAAAAAAAACCAACTGCCTCTTAACGATCCTTACTCCCTTCCATTTCTGTATAACCTAACCCCAAGTATTTCCTTTTTCATACCAACAACAGAGGACAAACAGGTGACTCCAGAACCCTTTGTAAAGTTCTCATTTGAAGCTGGGTGTGGTTGTGCACATTTATAATCCCAGCACTCAGGAGACTGAGGCAGGAAGATCAAGAATACAAGGTTAGCATGAGATACATAGCAAGACCCTCTCTCAAAAAATTCGAAGTTCTTGCCGAGAGCCTGTGGCTCACACCTGTAATCCTATCTACTCAGGAGGCAGAGATTAGAAGGATCTCAGTTTAAGCCAGAACGGGCAAGTAGTTCCAGAGACCCTATCTGGAGAATACTCAACACAAAAAAGGGCTAATGGAGGGGCTCAAGTTGTAGGCCCTGAGTTCAAATCCCAATATCGCAAAAAAAAAATAGAATTTATTTGAGAAATGGTTAAAGAGAGCAAAAGCTAAAAAGGGCAGTCTTCCTTCACATAAATTCCTAAAATTAATATTTTTAGCTGTAGTTTGCTTAGCAAGTTTGTAATCGTTTTACCAATCCTTCCAATCCTTTATCAAGGACTCTGTCTGAAGATCCTCCATGGAAATATGATTAAGGATCACGAAAATATTTTTCTCAAGTATGGCCTCCTGGAGTTCATGTATTTTTCATTCTGACAACCATTCTCACTCGGTCTAAAGGATTTCTAAAACCAACTGTCTCTTCAGTGGCATTCATGTCCCGAGAGGCCTCGACGACGTCAAGGAAGACCAGCCCTTAGCTAAGCAACAAAAGCATCAGCCTAACAGCAGTAGTCCAGTTCTCAGGCTTAATCGGACTGACTCTGGCACAAGTGCAGACACGTTTGTGATGCCAGGTGGCAAGTGGTCCTCAGCCTCAGCAAGAGGCCCAGGGAGTTCTAAAGAGTCATCCTACCTCTGGCAGAATGACGGTGCAGTGTCACTTCATGCCAGCCAGCAATGGATGGTCTGAGAACTACTTGTACAGCAGCAGCTTTAGGACCCAGTCCCAAGAGATCACTGGGACACAGATGGCTAGGGAGGTTGCACAAGCTCCTAACACTGCCAGGTTGAAAGGCAGCCCCAGCACCCATCAATGGGGATACGTCCTTAGGTAATTAATCAAGGTCCTTCTCAAAACAGCCCAGGGCCAAGAGTTTTCAAAAGTAGTCTCCTAGCCAGGCAGTGGTGCAACTATAATCCCAGCTCTCAGGAGGCTGAGGCAGGGGCAGGACAATTGAGGGCTTGAGGCCAGCCTGGGCTACATGGAGAGACCCTATCTCCTCCACCCCCTAAAAGCATTCTGAGGGGAATATTAAAGCCACTCTTTTCCTTACTTATATGCCTTAACCTACTGGTTCCCTCATACAGCTACTACCTAGTTAATAACAAAGTACTTTCTGAACACTGACTACATGATATACAAGCTGTCTCATTTCACTCTGAAAACAAACGCAAGCATTATCCCCATATACAGCTGAAGAAACAAGGCTTGTGGAGTAAAGTCAGCAGCTAAATGGGCTGTCTTCATCACTTACTTGGGCTTTATAGGATCAAATGGCGCCTCCTCCAACAGGTCATACACGTAATTATTATAGATTTCAAAGTAAGAGACAAATGCACCATAGACACTATCTTCATCAACTTCCTCTGCTTTGCAGAATTCTTGTATGTTAATCATATCTGCAAACTCTGGATCTACTTGTCGTCTAAAAAACAAAACCCAAAAAATTTACCAATTGTGAGTCAATATGAAAGTGAACAGTCCCAAGTGGTAACAAAAACATTTCATGAACGACTGTCCATTACAGCAGGAATGCACAAAGCAGCTCTATTCAGACTCAAGGTGACAACACAACCATGGTCTCCCAGATTCACAGCCCAGGCTCTCACACCCTTTCCCCACCCAGAGGCACCTTTGCAAACAGTGACCCCCATGTGCTCAAAACCAGAGCACCTAAGCAAATCATCACCCCAAGAACAGGCCTCCACTCTGACCTCACCAAAGTCAGCTGGTCAGACCAACTTCTCTGCTTCCAGGTCAGTATGCCCAGGCCTGTGAAACCAAGGCAGAACCTCTTGGGGCCAGTGCCACACACAGGATCACTCACTTGCTAGAGGGGGTCTTCGGGTTAGGTGCGGCTTCTCTCTTCTGACGTTCTAATAAGGCATCCACCTCGCACTGTATATCCATACTATTCCTATCATTAGATTTAAAAACCTGAGGTAGGAGCAAAAATCAGACCACTTTGCTTAAAATTTGACTTAAACAATAAACATATCTAAGAAAAAAGAAGCATCTTAAACTTTTTGTTTTGAGACTGGGTCTCACTGTGTAGCCCAGGGTGGCCTGGAATTCACATTCCTTCTGCCTCCCAAGCGCTGAGATTACAGACGTGCAGCACCACACCCAGCACATTTACACATACTGAAGCTGCAGAATGGCTCCAGTGCTTTGGCTCTTCCTTAGCACTACCGCATCCCCAGGCGTCTTAGTCCTGTGTCTACAGCAGACAGAGTCACAACACAAATGGATGATACTTACGTATCGTTTAGCTTGAAACGACCCTATGCTGTTAAAGATCATGTTCAGACAACGAGGAAGCAGCCCTCCTTCCCCTGGAGACCCGATCATCGTGTGAGTTTTTCCACTTCCTGTTACGCCGTATGTGAAAAGCAGACCTACAGCAAGTAACAGTGAGCTACAGTTTAAAGCCTGCACTGTGATGCTTCTTTCATTGTGCATCAGTGTGAAAGTGAGCAGTCCCGGGGAGACTGAAACACCTCACACGACAAGCTGCCCTGAAAGGAGACATGCACAGAGCACACCCGGTCACGCTCAAGGCATGACGAAGTTAACCAGCTCAGACACCAGGTTTAGCACTGCTCTAGCAAACTCAATCTGAATTCAGTGCCACACATGAACCAGATATGCAAACATCGCAACTCTTATCAGAAGATAAAGACAAAAAAAGGAGAAGCCAACTGAACCCCAAGCCTCATACCATTTTTGCCATGAATGAGGTCGTCTACCAAGGGACTGGCCACAACATCAAAGAGCTCCTTCTGGGTGGTGTGAGTGCCGAAGACTTGCTTAAATGAGTACTGAGTCTATGGAGAGAAAAACAAAATGCACTTAGATGGAATTCCACTCCATCTAGGCTAGAAGTACGTCTCTTTATGCTTACAGTGCTTCTGTGTGGACATTCAAGATTAAGACACTCAAAGAAAGACTGTGAACAGTCTCTAAACTACAGCCCTTCAGCTCTAAGCAGCCTACAAACAAGTCACACCACACTTAAATCACATCAGTTACGAACTGGTAGATTTTCAGTTCCGGTGACTGAAGAGAATGTAGAAAAGCCCAGTGATGCTTCAGACTAAGACTGATGCTTTAATTAAGGCAAAAACAAAAAACAAACAAACAAAAAAAAGTACTGTAGTAAGTCATAGTGATAGATTTGAGAAAATCCCTCTTTTCCCCCTTCCTTCCTTCTTTCCCTCCCTCCTTCCCTTCTTCCTTTCTTTTGGCAGAACTGGGTTTTTGATCTCAGGGCCTTAAGCTTGCTAGGCATGTGCTCTACAATTGGAGCCAGGCCCTCGGCCCTTCTCTGTGTTAGTTATTTTTTGATCAGGTCTCAAGCATTTTCCCTGGGGCTGACCTCAGACCAAGATCCTCCTACCCATGCCTTCAGAATAGCTGGGAGTAATGCTCTGCTTGGTTGTTGAGATGTGGTCTTACTAACGTTTTACCAGGCTGGCTTTGAACCATGATCCTCCCAATCTACGCCTTCTGAGTGGCAGAGATTATAGATATGGACCACCATGCCAGGCTATTTTACTGATTCCTATTTTGTCTTTATAAAGGTGTCACTTGATATAGTATAGTAAAATAATACCAAGTATTTTAACATATGGTACTTTAAAACCAAAAATGAACTGTAAATACAATCCTATCTTTTGAGTTCTTATATAAAATAAACTTTAAATAAATTGTGACCTTTAAGAAAACAAGAATAAGGGCTGGGGATGTGGCTTAAATGGTAGGACACCTGCCTAAGAAATACAAGGCGTCAAGTTCAAATCCCAGTACCACCAAAAAAAAGAGCAAGCAAGAATACTTCAGTTTCCAAATTTTTTCAAGAAATGATTATTGTAAAGTAGAATCACATTACCAAAACTGTTACCAAACTCCTTCCTAGAATGTTTAATTAAAGCACCTAATTTTTTTTTGGTGTGTGGAGGGGGTTGAACTCAGGGGCTATACCTTAAGCAACTCCACCAGCACTTTTTTCTGTTGAGTATTCTTGAGATAGGGTCTCTCAAACTATTTGCCTGGTTGGCTTCGAACTGTGACCCTCCTGATCTCTGCATCCTGCGTAGCTAGGACTACAGGTGCCAGGATGAAGCACATGTATTTTTAATGTAAATTACAACGTCTTAATTGTCTGGGGCTGACATCAGCCCCAATTGTCTGGGGCTGAACATTATTTCTATGTTCTAGCTTTTTGGTTTGTAGACATTGCAATTGCTTCTGCACGCTTCCTGAATTTCAATACTAAGGTATTTGAAGTAATTTTAATATCAATAGCATAACCCTTTGCAATTAAAAAATGAGTTTTGTTCACCAAAAAGAGACAGGACAGATTAGTACACGAACATATCATAACAACAATAAAGGCTGGCACTGCCTAAGTAGTGAATCATGTCATTCTCATGACCTTGGATGTCAGTACAGCTGTCCCTCTGTATCTGAGGTTGGGTCCAGATCCCCCAAGGATAGAAGTCCCTTCTATAAAATGGCACACATCTGCACACGGCCCCACACCTCCTCCATCTACTCTAAGTCCTCTCCAGGTTACTAACACACCTAATACAAGTAAACACTAGGCCAACAGTTGTGCTGCATCATTCAGGGAGCAGTGACAAGAAAAAAGTCTGTCCCTGTTCAGTACAGATGCAATCTTTTTTCTGCATTCTGCCAAACCACGGCCAGTTGAATGGATGTGGGAGTGCAGACATGGAAGACTGAATGCTCATTTTGTAGTTAAGGAATCAGATTGCATAACTTGTCAAAGTCCACACACCTCCCTCAGGTACGCTAACTCTTACCTTTGTGTAAGTTTTCAATCTAATTCACAACCAGAACAAAGACTCTTGCAATGGAAAGGATGCACTTGGGACAGTGCCAAAGATGGATGGCTCCCACTCAAGAACAACTCCCCCCGTCAAAGGAGGGGTTGCTATTATATGCCCAGGCATACAGCAGGCCATCTATGATGTTCACACAATGACAAAATTGCCCGATGATGCATTTCTCATGATGGATCCTCATCTTTATTTGTTTTTGGGAGGGCAGTATTGAGGTTTGAACTCAGGGCCTCACACTTGCTAGGCAACTCCACTAACCATTTTTTGTGTTAGGCATTTTTGAGATAAGGTCTTTCAAAAAATTTGCCCAGATGGCTTTGAAACACAAATCTCCCAAGTAGCTAGGATTACAGATGTGAGCCACCTGTGTCTGGCAATATAGCCTCATCTTCAAGCAACACCGGACTGTAAACAGACAGATGACGTAAGCACTACAAAGGAGGCACACCAATGTAGAACAGGAGAGGAGAAGGTAGTACTGTTTCTGATGGGGGACACTGGGCACCCTGAGGAGGCTGCAACCCAAGGATCAAGAACCATCCATGTTGAGATCCAAGGGAAAGAGAAGTCCAGGCTAAGCCAGTGCTGTCAGGCAGGATTCTGGCTTATCCAAGGATCTCCAAAGATGGGATGAGTACTAAAAGATGAGGGTGGAGAGATAAGCAGGAGGCAGGTTGAGCAGGATTTTGCCCATTTGAAGACTTCAAGGAAAAGATAAGATCTCATTCATACTTTTTGAGATCATTCTAGCAGCTCTGTGGAAATGAGCAGTGATGATTCTGGGGAGAAGCAAACGGTCCAGATGGCCGCAGCAGTCTTGTCCCTCTACACAAGGCACAGTCGGCACACCAATGCCTGCCCGACAGCTGCTTGTCACCAGTCAACCTAGCGTTTACAACTTTTGCTAATATCCTAGCCTATGATCAATGTGCTCATCTCACTGAGCAGATTTAAAACAGTCTGTCATCTAACTCCACAGTTAGTTCCATCTAGCACAAGGCGCACTCAGGTGTCTGTTGCTGTGCATCCCTCACGACAGCTAGCTTGAGAAGCCCTGGTCTCAGAATATGCCAGTGGCAACAGCAATGGAGATGAAAGGATAGCTTCAAGATACACTTTGGAGTAGACCTGATAGCATCTACGAATAACCTGGATATGAGCACAGGGTGGTGGAAAGTACACTCCGGGTTTCTGGCCTGAGCAACTGGACAGTGATGGTATCACCACTTGGAAAGATAAGAAGAAATTATTTAGAAGGGAAAAATTAAAACTCCCTTTTGGACATGTAAAACAAAATGCCTACATGACTCCCAGCAAAGATGTGTCAAGAAAGTGGCTGGATGGTCAAGGTTAGAGGTAGAGAAAAGGTTTCAGCAGGAGATAAAAACTCCAGAGCTTTCCCCTATAAGTGACCTTTAAAGTTGTAGGAAAGTACAAAGAGTCCTGGGCATAACCCAACTCAGCATTTAGAGATTGTGTTGGGGTACTTTAACTTGCAGCCCACCTAGCCTAGAAATCAGCTATAACCGGCATGACCCTTGGGTAACCTCGTGAAGAGGAAGATAGCCTTGAAATAGGGTTGTAAAACATGGTAAACTGTCAATTAAAAGCTGTAACCTCGGACAGAGTTGTGAGGAATTGCTCATTAGAGCCATGCAAAAGTTCGGGACTGAGATGAAAGGCACCATGTAGAGATAAGCACCCATTCCTGCCTTTCTTTGTCTCCACTTGTAAATAAACTTTCCAAAGCAGGACTCCCCTGCTGTTCTTATCTAAACCTTAGGTTTCTATTCCACTACTCGCCCTAATTTATGGGAGAACGCATTCCTTGTAACCTGATAAGTAAGCCTCTGGTGTTTCCCCATTCCCAATAAATAATATTACCCCACCACCAGGATGTGGGCAAGATCAGGAAAATGTGACCCCGGGGGCATGAGGAATTCCTATGTGATGATGATTGATGCTTTAAAGAGTATAAGACCTGCTTAAACTTTTCTCTCAGGGTCCTTGTCGAAACCTGCTGCGTCAGGCGGATGCTCGGACCTAGCTGGCTAGAAATAAACCTCGCCTTGTGACTTCCCTTGTCTCGAGTGTCCTTTGTCCTCTCAGGAGATGGCAGCCTGGTACCCTAACAGTTGGACAAGGAGGAGTCAGCAAAAGCAGACCAGTGAGAGAAAACAGGGAGAGCTAGAGGGGAGACAAGAACAGCTCCAGGAAGGGGCCTGCATAGGGACAATAACAACAAAGAGGCGCTCAGAAGCTCAGCAGCAAAGGTCACAGGCAGTCTTCTGAAGGACAAGTTCACTGCACAGGGAGTGGCAGCTACAAAGTGAAGAAGCCGACCTTTCCCTTCAATCAGTCCTCTTCTGCACGGAGGCCTCACCCTCCAGCACGCCTGAATTCTGTCTACCACCTGATCAATTTACATACAAAGTCCATAAAGGCAATGCCTTACTTATTGAAAGAAAACCTCCTTCAACCCTCCAGCCATTAGATTAGCAGAACATTTGCTGGACTGAATTTTCTCTCTCTCTCTCTCAATCTCTCAGGTACACAAACATACACACATGTACATTTTGGGACAGGGTCTTTCTATATATAGCCCAGGCTAGACTCAAACTCAATCTTCCTGCCTTGGCCTCCCAAGTGCTGAGACTACATGTGCACATCACTTTTCAGTTTGCTCAATATTTTACAAAGTATAAAAAAACACCTTCTGGACATAGTGGTGCAAGTCTATAATCCCAGCACCTGGGAGGCTGACAAGGGGATTTCAAGTTAAAGGCCAACCTGGGCTACATGGTGAGTTCTTAGCCAGCAAAACCCGGTCCCAAAAAAACAAAAAAGACTTCATAAACACACCATACCTATCATTAAATGTCATTTAAACCTCCACAAGTGAAACTGTGTATGTAAAACCAACTAGCACAATCATGTTACTGTATATGAAACTATAGGTAACATACGCTCTAAAAAACAAACTCTAGTATAAAAACATCCGGAAAGTGGTCCTCTAAGTCCAGCAAACCAAACGCAAAACACCTCAGATATGTTGGTCATAGTGAAATAGTCTCTCCAAAAAGTGGGGTGGCGCATGGACGGTGCCAAATTCAAGAACGGAAGAGCCATTCAGGAAACAACAAATCAGTTAAAGCCAGCTTGTTTCCAGTAGGAATTACCTCCTTGTAGTCTCCACTTCTGTTGAGTCTGTAACCCTCAGGAGTGTGCAGCTGCACGGTGGTATTATTGATCACTTCTATGCAGCACTCCTGATCGGAAAAGCTCAGTGGGCGCACTCTACAGTATACCTGGGAAAAGAGAAAAGCACTGAAAGAAGACTGACTTTTGGCCTCATGTTTTGTTTAAGTTTCCCATTCATTCATTCAACAAACATTTTGGCCTTTCAGTTTAAGAGAGCTATATAGAGTTATGATCAGCAAAATTAACTACTCAAAGCTGTCAACTGCAAACAGATATACTAGATATGAGAAAAGACTTGAAACGAGCATAAAGTCAAAGTGAATGTGCACAATGTCAAATCTGAAGGCTTCTCTTCACTGTGATATTATGCACAAATAATAAAGTTGCATGACTCGTATAAAGAAATCTCTCTAAATGGTAAATAAAATCTGTTAGAATTCTTTGGAATTGGATGCTAATTAAAACTTTGCTGGCTTAACCTAACACTTAACATAGAAATAAATTAAGGTGGAGGGGCTGGAGGACAAAATACCCAGCTGTGTGCACAGCACCTGGCACCTCAACTCAGACCCAGAGACTCACTCCAGGAGCAATGGGTAGGAATGGGTGGGGTACGTAAAATACCCCAGAGCAAACCAACACTCTCTTATTCTGAAATTAGTGACAAACTTGCAATTCTGAAGAAGTCTTTATGAAACCTGGAGTTGGGGCTCTCCTCAGGAAACATGTCACCAAGTACACTTGCAGGTGGGAGAGGTCGCTTATCTGTGCACCATGTCTCCCCATAGGGAGTATGGCTGAAGATTTCAGGTTATCTAACTTTCAAACAAATAGTTATAGGAGGTTTCAGTCAACAAACAAGAGCTTCATTTTACTTGACTAAACGATCCTCTAGAGACAAGATTTCACAGCTAAAACCAGTTTTCTACAACTTAGTAACTCAACTTAGCTGGCTCGATGTCCCTTGACACCACCTCCACAGCTCTTCTTCCTCCCCTTGAAGCCAAGCACACATGGAAGACAGATGACTGAAGAAAAACACACTCACAAACCCACAGGCAGGCCTTACCCCAACTGGGTCTTTAAGGTTAGTCTGGGAGCCTTTCTTCACCAGAAGTTTCCTGGGTGTCTTAGCTCTCCTGTTCGTAAATAAAAAGCATTTCAGTTCAACACAAGCACACAAAACCACATAATTCATATGAAGACAGCCTTCCCAGGGCTTATAACCTAATTCCTTAGCAGTTCCAAACCACTACACTCCAAATAACCTGAACAAGTCAACTGCATTAGGACAATGTAGTATCTGAAATCCAAAAGTCACTCAAATCTGGTTTAGAATACATTTATGGTACCAAATGCACCCAGTAGTTTTTAATTAGTTCTATATTCTAAATGGGTTTGAATACTTTCTTGAGCAACAATTTTACAGTCACTCCAAGTTGGAAATATATAGGAGTAACTGACCTCACTATCCTAAGGACATTTATGTATGTGCACAAGCACTGGGTATTAACGGTCATTACCAAGGCAGAATATGAAGCAGTCCACCTCAATAAATGATGGAAAGGCACAGGGAGCAATGTGTTCTCTCAGGGTGCACGCCTGGGGGCTGCATGTTCAGTTGGAGAGAACCTGCCTAACAGCAAAGGCCCTGGGCTCCATCCCCACCACTGGGGGGTAGGAGGAATTATTTATTTATGTATTTACTGTACTTGTTTTGTGGATGGGTAACGACTGGGGTTTGAACTCAAGGCTTTGTGCTTGCAAAACAGATGCTCTACCACTTGATCCACACCTCCAGTCCATTTTGCTCTGGTTACTTTGGAGATGGGAGTCTCATTAACTATTTGCCTGAGCTGTCCTCCAACCTTGATCCTCCCTATCTCAGACCCCCAAGTAGCTAGGATTTATAGGCCTGAGCTATCAGCAGTGCCAGGGACTGAAGGAGGGCCTCAGTTATGGGAAGCAAGGGCTTCACCCTTGAGCCACGCCTCCATCTGTGCATTATCTTTTTTTTTCTTCTTGTGAGACTGGGGTTTGAACTCAGGGCTTTGCTTGCAACACAGATGCTCCACCACTCGATCCACACCTCTAGTCCATTTTGCTCTGGTTATTTTGGAGATGGGGGGGGGGTGACCTGGAACCGATCCCCCAGATCTCAGCCTCCCAAGAGGCTGGGATTATAGTCGTGACCACCTGTGCTGGGAAAACACCGCACTTTCCAGGACAACACTGGTCCCGAAAGCTCAAGACTATTATTATCCCTTATTCCCACACAAATCGTGGCCCCACACTTCTGTCCCTTAAGTAGGGGCAGTGAAGACATTTTGACGCCCACCGCCAGCTTTCCATCCCATCACTCTTTGTCCCCTGGCCAGCTGAACACTTCACAAGTGCGTTTCTGCGGCGTCTCCCTAAACACATCCCCGGATGAAGACCTGACCTTGACCTTGGCCTTGACCTTGGGCCGGGCCGGGTGGGACGCGAACCGCACCGAGTGATGCTGGGTCCCGCAGGTGGCACCGAGGGACCGCGGAGGGGACAGAGGGAGGAACGTGGGCGTGGGGCGGAGGACGGGAACCGCGCCACCGCCGAGCCCGCCAGCCACGGCCCGGGACTGGGGGACCCCCCCTCCTCAGGACCCGAACCCCGACCCCGCCCGGGGCGGCGACCCGGGGTGACGGCGGGAGACCCTCCCCCCCCACTTCGGGAGGACCTTTCCGGGCCCCGGAGGCCCGTCCACCCGGGCCCGGTACTCACGCTGGCTTCATGGCAGCTAGCTCGGTGCTGGCCTCACGCGCGCGCGGGACGCCGGGTTCCACCCGCAGGGCTGGCGGGGACCGACGGACGGACGAACGCGCCGCGCGGCTGCGATTCCGGGTGAGGCGCCGAGCTCCGGAAAGCCCGGCGGCGACGCTGCGAGCCCAGGTGAGCGCCCGCCCGGCGCATTTCAAACGGACCAATCAGCGCCCGCCTGCGGGGAAGGGGCGGGGCCTCGGAGGAAGGGGCGGGGCCTCGGAGGAAGGGCGGCTCCGCCGGAAGGGGCTCCCGTCGCCCAGGCGACGACGCGGGAAGCGCGAGACGCCACTGGTGTCTGGGCTGCATAAAGACCTCACGCGCGGAATGCACGGCCTTCCGTTTTCGGACGGGGAAACTGAGGTCTCTGGACACCGCGAGAAGTCGGCGGAAGCCGGTGCGCCGGTTCCGCACCTGTAATCCTAGCTATTCAGGAGGCAGAGATCAGGAAGATCGCGGTTCGAAGCCAGCCCTAGGCAAATAGTTCTCGAGATCCTATCTGGAAAAAAACCATCACAAAGAAAGGGGCTGGCGGAGTGGCTCAAGGTGGAGGCCATGAGTTCAAACCAAAGTGCCGCAAAAAAAAAAAAAGAGGCTCGGTGAAGCAGTGTTGCTTTGCTCCACGATGGTTCTGTTCTTGCTCTGTACTCTTGCAATGTCAGGCTGTCTTTCTGGCTGCCATGGCCACCACCTCATTTTGGCTGTCGCCTTCCCTAGGCTTCCCCTCCTCCAGTTCTTCCCCGTGCGTACATTATTTTATCGAATTATTTTTCTTTTTGTGGTGCCGGGGATCGAACCCAGGGCCTCGTGCACTGAAGCACACCCCCAGCCCTCAAATTCTTGATTGTGCTTAATCCAGGGCATGGACAGAGTAACAGAATTTGTGCATTGCCCTTGGGCAACGCCCAGGACCTTCTCTTGTCCTACAAGGACTGATTCGATCTGGCCTCAACCTTTGCCCCCAGGCTGATGGCTATCAGATAATGCATCTTCTCCTGTGCTCTCCTGGAACTGTCGAGCCTCCTCCCAACTTCCTGCAGCAGCGGCAGCACTGGCAGCACTGATAAGTCATAATTTCATATCCAGGGCCCGTACTGTTGGATAGTAGGCCACAGTGGATAAACAGCTACGTTGGGTAAACTCGGAATACATCCTTCTTATGCAATGCCAGTGAGCGTGCAGGCAGAACTGCTGGACGACAGGGTTGCTGTCACCACCCCCCAACAGAGTTTCTATCCTGCAGCCCAGTCACCTCTAAGCCACACACGGGGTCATGTTGCTCCCCCTGTGTGACACCTTCAACAGGGCCCTGAGGCTCCTCCTTTCTTAACACCCCGCCCATTCCTACTCCCTGTGCCCGGACCCCAGCCTCATGGGACGTCAGTGTCCTGAACACACTGGCATCACACTCTCCTCCCTCCTTTCCTGACACTGCCTCTTCATTTCTCAGCCACCCTGCTGTGGGCACGGCCCCTCTGCCCACACCCCTCCCCGCACCTGCTTTTCCCATCCCACCGTGAGAGCCCCGTTGATCTTGCTCCTCCCCACAGCCTCACTAGATGACATTGTCCCATGCCCAGTGCCCAGCGGTGCAGGCCTGGCACTGATGTTTGCAGGGCTCAGGGGATCCCCTCCCCTCAATGAAGAATGCCCCCTTCTCCCCAGGGAGCACCCACTCCCCATGCACAGGCTGCAGCTTCTTCAGGCCGGCTCTTCCTCCCTCGCTCCTATCCACATTAAAGTTCTTCACCTTATAATTCTTAAAAATCACATCACTTATTCCAACATTGCTAAGCTCTCCCATAGCCAGTTAAAGATTTGCACGAGGGTGAGAGATCCAGACCCTGGGGGGTGGGGGAGGAAAGAGAAGGGAGTGGAACTGAGGGCTTCTTTGAAAGTCAGGTGTTTCAGACGTAATTTATATGCAGCAGAATTCACCCCTCAGTTGTATTGTTCTATGGACTGACCACATACGCCATCCAGTGACCACCATCACAAATGTCTGTTTCTATCACACCAAAAAATTCTCCTTGTGCTGCTACTATGTCCTTAATCACCTTGCCCTACTCCCAGCCCTTGGCAACCACCTTTCTGACTCCTTCCCTATGCTGGCATTTCCCAGCATGGGGCTTTTGAGATTCGTCCTGTGTTACATGCCCCCGTAATTTGCTCCTTTTTCATTTCTGAGTAGTATTCCATCATATGAATGCTTGATGTATTCCATTCATTAACTGATGGAAATTTAGGTCCTTCCCCTCTTTGGAGAGATTATGAATGAAAACGGCACACCAAGGTCTTTATATAGAAATGTTTTTCTTTTTCTTGGGTAAGATTTGGGTCTTGTGGTAAGTGTAAGTTTACCTTCATAAGAAGCTGCCAGACTGTGCTGGGAGGGACTTAGGCAAGTCACTGACTGCACAGACTCGGAACTATGAGGACTCCAAATGCCTGGATGAGCAAGTCCAGCTCTGGAACCCGATAAACACCCACGGTGATCCAGTGCTGGAGCCCGAGTGCTTCAGGGGAGGTAATAAAATGGTGACAGGCCTGTCCCAGGAGCGGGGACTCACTCAACACACCTGGGCCCTCCCTGGCCCGCTGTTTGCTCCGTAACCTAGGAAACATGGCCTCAGAGATTCCAGGCTACAGAACCGCTCTCCGGGCTGCTGTAGAATGAAGAGCTGCATGTGCACATCTTACACACCCAAGAAACACACTAATAAAACCCAGCTCGGGGACTGTAAAACTCAGGGATTTCATAGAAAGGGGAAAATAACCACTCCGTTATTTAGACTGTATAGACTATATGCCCTCAGGCTCAAGACGAGAAAGAAGTGAAACACTGAATTCTAATTAGCAGGCCTTTTTTTCCCACAGAAATGGGTAATTCTGAAATAACATTCTGCACTTTCTAGAACTGCCCAAATAAGTAAATTTATGTTAGCTGCTGGGAGCAGGTTCCTCACCTTTGGAAAAGGAGTTATAACTATCAAAAGGCAGAAGGTGGAAAAGCAGCTGGAAATTCTTGCAATAGGTTTATAAGTCTGAAATTGTTGTGGTTTTTCTTTTTTTTTTTTTGTAATGGTGCTTGCTTAGCAGGTGTGAGGTTCTGATTTAACTCCCAGTACTGCAAAAAAAAAAAGGGGGGTTGCAGTTTAAACTATATCAGTGCATCTTAAACTTTTTTGGGGGGTGAGGCAGTGTTAAGGATCAAACCCAGAGCCTCGTGCATGCTGGGAAAGTGCTCTACCCCTGAGCTACATCCACAGCCCTTGGCCTTTTGAGACAGTCTCGCTAAATAACGCAGGCTGACTCGAACTCATGATCCTCCTGCTTCAGTTTCCTGAAGGTGACAAGCATGTGACTATTGTCCCACCCTAATGCTTTTTTGTTTTGGCAATACTAGGGCTTGAACTCAGGGGCTCACACTTGCTAGGCAGGCTCTGTACCACTTGAGCCACTCCACCAGCCTTGTTTTTGTGTTGAGTTTTTTTGAGATAGGGTCTCTGGAAGTATTTGCCCAGACTGGCTTCAAACCATAATCCTCCTGATCTCTGCCTCCTGAGAAACTAGGATTACAGGTGTGAACCACCGGCACCTGGCTGTCCTAATGTATTTGTCAAGAGGAAGATGGAGTGATCAATGTCCTCCGCCAAACCCGTTTATCACTAGGTTGAAGCATTCTAGGCAAGTACCGAAGCCCTGCAGCAACCTTTCAGGAGGAAAACTTCAGAATTGTTCAAAAGCCAGTCGTGCAGATGTCTTCCAGAGTTAAACGCTTAGAAAGGAGTGGCCTGGTTTCTATCTGGCCTGGGGAACAAGCACCTGCTGCCTCAGGGCCTTGTTACTTACTGTCCCCATCACCTGAAATACCTTCCTCCTACACCTCGCCAGCCTGGCTCCTTCTGGCCCTCCAGCCTGTCCTCAGATGTTAGCTTATCAGAGTGGCCATCCATCTCACCTCGGAGGCCTTTCCTGACCCTTTCTTGGGCTCATTTCCTTCAGGGCACCCACCATTTTCTGAATTTATGCACCTTGTCTGCCTGCTTAGCCAGAGTGCTGTGCCACCAGGATAGACATGGCAGGTTTGGTTCATTTCCATGTCCTCAGTCCTTGGAGTGTATCCACCCTCACACACAGCACTGTTCTATTCGTGGGACGACTCTCCTGTGTACACGTGGATAGGAACCTTATTTCTCACAATGGATGAACGTGTGTGCAGCACAGCAGGTGAAACCCAGCCCCACCAAGTGAGCAGCACGACACCCCTATGATAAATAAATACTTTTTATTTTGCCTCTCACACAGTTCAAGAAAGCCAGGCATTGAGGACACTGGAGGAACACGTCCAGGGTGCAAGTGGCTGTTTGCCGAAGGACTGTTTGTTGACTAGGAAACCAGGGACTATGTTCGGTTGACGGGTGACACTATGTCATTACATGGTGACAACAGGTGTCTCTCATAAGGATTCACAGCAGCGGCTCCCTGGTGTGACAGGACCACTGAATTCCGCCCTACCTTTCCTCAGAGCCTCTCGGGTGAGCGGGGTTCCATGAACAATCATAAACTCAGTTTTTTAAAAAGATATTGGCTGTAGGTACTGGGGTTTGAACTCAGGGCCTCAAGCCTTCTAGGCAAGTGCTCTACTACTTGAGCCAAGCTTCCAGTGCTCAAACCCATTCTTTTAAAAATTAAAGTTAAATAAGTGGACAGTTTCTGTAAAACCTGAGTGGTGGGAATGAAGCCCTACAGCGAGTGGAGGGAGGTAAAGGCGGCCATCACACCGCAGTGTCCCACAGGTCTGGAGAGTGTTTTGGGGGCCAGGCAGGGGGAGGGGTGGATCCCATCAGAGTATGGTCCTCCACAGTGCTTGTAGAGCAATTGCTACCAATGGGATTTCGTAAGGTATCAAGACTTTTTTCTGTGTTTTGCAGTACCGGGGCTTTGAACTCAGGGCCTACAACTTGAGCCACTCCACCAGCCCTTTTTTTGTGTGATGGGTTTTTTTCGAGATAGGGTCTCTCGAACTATTTTCCTGGGCTGGATTCAAACCCTGATCCTCCCGATCTCTGCCTCCTGAGTAGCTAGGATGACAGGCGTGAGCCACGGGTGCCCGGCTGAGACATTTTCTAAGGACTAAGAATCGCTACATTAAACGACATCTTTCCAGTGAGATCTTCCAAGACCCCTGCCAACATTTTTGGCTTCCTGGGATGGCTTGAGTAAAACTATACCCCGAGAGGCATCAAATGTCTGTAACTTAATAACGACAATTAATTCTCATTTTACACTATGTAGCTTCAAAAATGGCAAAACCGTTATAAAATCTTACTAGATAACACTGTCCGAAAGTGTACAACGGGACTGAAATTCACCAAATTTATAAAAACATTCTCATCGAGCACTTGATCTTATTCTGTTGACTTAACATTTCCTTTTCATCATTAAGCATGATGCGAAAGCAGCATAAACGAAGATTAAATAATCTAAAAGTCTTTCATACTGATCACTTAATCTTCTTAAAGCCTATATCTTCTGATTAAAAAGAAAACACTATTTTATGATGTATAGATAGATTTTAAAAACACTTTGCCTTTGGCATTACTAGAAAAAGGTATTTAAACTTTATACACTTTTCTCATGCTTCAAGAGGTGGACATGGTTGTGCATGCCTGTAATCCCAGCTCTTTGGGAGACAGAAGGATCAGGGTTCAAAGCCAGTCCAGGCAAAGTCGGTGAGACTCTATCTCAAAATCAAAATAAAAGGGCTGGGGGGCAAAGATCAAGAGTGCTTGCCTAGCAAGTTCAACACTCTGAGTTCAATCCCTGGTATCACAAATGAGCTTCAGTAGGATGAAATGGGGACCCACAGACTCTGCCGATGTGGGATTCTATCAACACCATCAGACTGTTGGCAAGGAACAAACTTTGTCACGCAGCCCATATAATTTTATCAGTCTCCCTTCCCTCTGAGGAAGAAAACAGATGGGATAAAAGTAATGAAATCATATTTCTTGACCTCTCTCTTCCAACATATAAACGGCTACTTGTCCTTGGAGGGTTGGAAGACGAGCTGTGCACCGGGCATTTCAGGGCTGGGCCCGTTATCAGAGGCAGTCTTGTAAGACATGGGGTGCACCTGACAGCACCGTGACAAGGGTGGGCCCCCTAAGTCACTGCCACATGCAGATCAGGGGTTGATTGGCCTCTGTGAAAAACGGTTTTGCATCAGCATGCCTGTACTCCCTGCAAACGCCATAAAATCCTGGACTTGCACTAATAATGAAACAAATGAGAAAGTGCTCGGTGCTCAGTACCACAAGCCAAATAACAGAGGTTCTCCAGAGACCACGAGTGCTTTCGGGAACTGGCGTGCGAAGGGATCCTCGTTCCCGTAAGGAGGTTGAGGAAGGGGACATTTGTAAAGGCTAAATGAGGAGGATTGTGTAAGCCATATTTGAAACAACCATCTTCGGCTACAAGCATGGATTACCAGGTGTCAGTCGAGACTGGACAGGCCATGTGGTCAGCCATCCTCACAGAAGTACTGTGTGAGGCTGCAGTGATCTTTGGACAAGGTTGTGCTTCTGGCAGGGTCTTTGGTGACCGTTTTTGGTGTTTCCAGTAGTTCTTGGTTTTGTTTGTTTAGTTTTTGAGACAGGTCTCCTTATGTAGCCCAGGCTGGCCTTGAACTAGGTATCCTCTTGCCTCTGCCTCCCAAGTACTGGGATTACAAGCGTGCATCACCACACCTGGCTCCATGATAGGTTATTTTTGCTTTTGTTTTTTAAAATCTTTTAAATCAGCATACATCAAGCCTCTCACCTTTCTTTTATTTAGTTATGTGTCAGGGTTTGACGCGTGAGACTCCATTTTTATTCTGATGACTTTCCTAGTACTATTCAGAGTAGAAGCCTGGAAAGAAAATGGGGCAGGCCCTGAGCTGGTGAGCTGCCAAAGCTCTAATCGACCGGAACAAATTGGACGGGGCAGGGCCTTGGTAGCGAGCATGTGACCGACGTTCTTCAGGTCCCCCCGTGTTGGAGTCATCTGGGGAACTTGCTCCAGTGCAGATCCGCTCAACAAAGCCTGCATCTAACCTCACAGAGCGGGTGCCCAGGCTCACTCCGGGAATCTGGTGTTTCTGATTCCCTTTCCTTGTCTTTTTTCTTCCAGTACTGGGGTTTGAATGCAGGACTTGCACCCTCAGCCATTCCACCAGTCCTTTTTTTTGTGATGGGTTTTTTCAGGATAGGTTCTCAAGAACTATTTGCCCAAGTTGACTTTGAACCAAGATCCTCCTGATCTCTGCCTCCTGAGTAGCTAGGATTACAGGTGTGAGCCAATGGCACCTGCTTGTTTTTGTTTTTGATAGAAGGTTTAGATAACTTTTACCCAGGCTGGCCTTGACCCTGGATCCTCCTATCTCTACCTCCTGGGTGGGTAGCTGGGATTACTGGTGCTCATATGCCACCACACCAAACGATGACCGATGACGGCCCCAGTGGTGAAGTCTTCCACATCTTCTGCACATGAATACTAAATTCAGCAGCATATCTGAAACACTGATGCAGTATGGAGTGTACAGGATCTAAAAATATGGCCTTTCCAGTGGTTTAAGCAGTGACAGATGAGCACAAGGGACTGAAATAAACTCATCCCTCTCCATGGTTTAATACATTTCACCTGTGCAGCTCAAATTGGCAACAAGAGGACAGAGCATAACCGAACATATGGCACCCAGCCATAGGCTATACATTTACAAAAAACAATATCCTACACGCTCAGGCTCCATAATGACGTGGAAACTTGCACTCTGAGGGCAGAATGCAGGTGGAAGGAGGACTGGCCTTGTGTTCATTCCTGTCCCCTAGGTGTGTGGGGGGTCCCCTCATTCTGAAATGGCTTCCCAGTCCCCAGGGCTCCAACAGACCCAACTTCTAGGTTCTCAGGTCCTCCTACTGACTCTCCCTGCTCATTCTCCCAAAGTGGTAGATAAGCCTCTGTGGGCTCTTGGAGGAATCTCTGCTCATCCCTTCTCCTCCTCCTCCTCCTCCTTTGTGGTGCTGGAGTTTGAACTCAGGCCCTTGCACTTGCTAAGCAGGTGCTCTACCACTTGAGCCATGCCTCCAGTCCATCTTGCTCTGGTTATTTTGGAGATGGGGGGGGTCTCATGAACTATGTGCCTGGGTTGACCTCTAACCTTGATCCTCCCGATCTCAGCCTCCCAAGTAGCCAGGATTACAGGCGTCAGTCACCAGCACTAGGCTGTAGTTGCACTTTTAAAGAGTAATACAAAAACCAGAAGGGTGATATGCTTGACCCAACTTTTTAAAGAGAATTGAAAACCCCATTTTAAATAAATTGAAAATGCAATGAAATGTCAATACTTTTTTGCCTCATCCAGGGCTTGCTTGAGACCACATTTCCCCTTTTAAAATCACACACACAGAATCAGTGCACATTAGAGAAATCTCCGAAGTTATATACCTTTTTGACATGAACCCGTTCAAAAATACCAAGACACCAGTCACGATGAGTTCTTTCAGCCATTGGCTTGTGGTGGCTGGGGTGTCACAGCTTAAAGCTGGCATCTGGCAGAAGGAGCTTATTGACCGAGTTATGTTTCCTTTTTGTGTAATTCTGGCTCCGGAATCCGATACAGAGCAGCTGAGAAATAAATTATGTTGCTGAGGCTGAAAATCATGCACAGAAGAAGGGCTCCGGCTATCTGTGAGAAGGAGAAGGGCCTCGAGGTGGCCAGCAGCCACTCCTTCCTCAGAGTCTTGTCCAGAAGGATGGCCTCCATTTGCATGTGTGTAGCCAGGATCACACACACGTGGAACAGCTGGTGACTGTGACCTGCAGTGAACACATGGAAGGCGTGGAGATCGTCAGTCAAAAGGGAGGAAGGTGGTGTGGGGGGCTGGGTTTGAACTCAGGGCCACGCTGGCTAGGCAAGTGCTCTACCCCCTGGGGCCATGCCCCCAAGTCCTTTTGTTTTGTTCTGTTCTTGAGAACGGTTCTAGCTGACTTTAGCCTCATTAGCCTACAACTTGGAATCCTTCTGCCTCTACCTCCCAAGTCCACGCTGGCTCAGGAAGGGAGGATTGGTGTGTGGTGCAGCCCGTGGCGTGTACTCTAAAAACCGTGTGCCAAGTGAAAGAAGCCAGACACAGACCACATATGTGACTCTGTTTATGGGAACTGCTCAGAACAGGCAAAACCATAAAGACAGAGAAGAGAAAAACTCACTCAGAAAACTGCTGGTTTTCTTAAAATTACATTAAAAGTTATAATTGAAATGTGTCTACTTTATAAATATTTGTATTGTACCTAATATTTTTAGGTATCAGTTTTTAGTTATTAAATGACTGTACTATGTTGAGCTTAATAAAGAATTTATGCAGAAAAAAATACCCAGAGAGATTAATGGTTGCCTTGAGCAGGGCAGAATAGGGAGTCACAATGTATGGACAAGAGGGAGTTTACTGGGGTGATGAAAATGTTCTAAAATGATTTTTGGTAAAAAATCAGTTGGTACATTTACTAAATTGCCAATTAGTAAATTTACTAAAAGTATCACTGAATCATTTACTCGACATTGGGATATTATTTCACCTGTGAAATACACCTCAATACATTTATTTTTAAAAGCAATATAAGAAAATTACAGAGACCACCAGAGCAAAAATTCACTTTTAAGCCAACTTATCCACCAGCCTCAGTTTCCAGATGAAAAAGCCAGGTGCCAAGTTCTGCCAGAGGCCATTTCTTTAGCGCTTGCTCAGATTCTGACATCAACACCAAAGGAGAAGCTGACCAGCTTTTCTGATGGCCCCCTTACCAAGTGACCCTCTCCCTGTGCTGGTTACTCAGAGATGCGACCAGGGCTCCTCTTCCCTGATGACATACCTGACCTGCTCACCCCTCTCATCCACAGAGACATGCAGGTTTGGAGGCTGGTGAGACAAGGGGTACAAGGCCCAGTGTCAGGGACTGCTTTGGGCAGTGACCCAGGAGTAGAAAGAGAAGGGCACACGTGTGATAGGCTGAACTGTGTCCCTGGAAATTTCATATGGTAAAGTCCTAACCCCAGCAGCTGGGAATGTGACCATTGTAGGGGAGACGGTCTTTATAGTAACAAGGAGGTCACTAAAGTGGTGTCCCTATAAAAAAGGAGATTAGGACATAGTAGGGCAGGGGATGTGGCTCAAGTGGTAGAACACCCTGAGTTCAAATCCCAGTACCATCCCCTCCCCCAAAAAAAGACATAAACGGGCACCTACATGGAGGGATGCTTGCATGGAGACAGAGGAAAGGACACCCAACTATGGTCAAGGAGAGTAGCCTCAAGAGAGACTCCTGCCTACACCCTGATGACAGTTCCTTCCTGAGGTTCAGGCCACCCTGTCTGTGGGACTTGTATGTCAGCACCAACTAACTAAGGCAGCAGGAAGTGAGGTAAGGATTGTCTTTCAGTGAAAACAAGTTCCATCTTGCACCCCCTCAACCTATCCCAGAAGCATGCAATAAATGTGTCCTAGGAGCCACCCTAGGACTCACAAATCTGTGTGTGATACAGCAAAGTGGCTTTTCCTACAGCTAAGAGCCGCACTCCTCAAAGACACAGGACCAAGCAGACAGCACACCGGCCTCCATTAGGGTGAGAGGTAAAAGACAGACGGGTCACCAGTGTTGGGTTGGGTGATCCGAGATGGCCACAGTGGCTTTGACAGTCCCACCCAGCAGGCCTTGGGGAGCTTCTTGTTGGCCAAGGCTAATTCCCACACAGGCAGGGGACACTTCAGGGGGATTCCCACCTCCTGCAGAGTGAGTTACTTAAGACAAAGACTGTGAGGAGTGGAGTAGGAGAAGCCTATGAGGACCTTAGCACAGTTGTACTCAATGTCCTGCAGGCTGACTGTGGCACAGCCCCAGCCACAGAATAGGGCCAGAGTAAGATGCAGAGCAGCTGCTTTTCCTAAGATGTTTATGTCAAGTAATCTGTAGGCTGAGATTTGGCACAGCCCCAGCTGCAGAAGAGAGTGAGAAGATGAGATGCAGCTCAGCTGCTTTCCTCCGTTGTTTAAGGCAGGTGTCTCCTGTTACAAAGGCCCCTCCCCGAGAACCATTGCTCCACCTCCTTGTTTACCACTGGATATAAAAGATTCTCTGAAGGAGGACACGAGGCTTTTGGATGGGGGGAGGCTTTTGGATGGGGGGGTTTTTGGCTGAAGGGAAATTGCTAGAGGAAGATTGCTGAAGGGGGATTGCTGAAGGGAGGACTGCTGAAGGGAAAAGAATTGCTGAAGGGGAATTGCTAAAGAGCAGTTGATAGAATTATTTGGCAGCTTGCAAGGGGACTGCTGCTGTCGTTTGTCTGCAAGTCTAAGGGCCGAGGCTTTAAGAAAGCTAACAAGAGAACATGGGACAGAGCAAGTCTGCACCGAAAACTTTATACATAGGCTTTAGAAAAGCCAAGCTACAGAAAAGCTAAGAGAAAACATGGGACAGAACAAGTCTAAGGAAAGAGACTTTAAAGAATAGAAGATGAGACTTTAGAAGTGAGGTTTTAAAGAGTAGAAAGAAGAAAGACTTTAGAAGCAAGGTTTTAAAGAACTATAAAGGAGTAAGGCCTTAAAGAATTAAGATAGAGAAAAGAAGCAGAGTAAATGAAGAGAATAATAGAGAAAAGAAGCAATGAGGCTGTTGTGCATTTCCATCTGAGCACCCAACACCCCTGGCCCCAACTTTCTGTCTGTCTGTCTATCCTTTGTCCTTTCTGCATCTCCCGTCATTCCCAGTTAGGCCCAGTTAGGTTCAATAATAACCAGGAGTGAAAGAAAGCTGGCTTTACAAGACCTTAAAATTTCTTGTTGAGGATCTGTCATAGCTGCTGTCTGGCAAATCCCCACCCCACTCCACCCCTGGAGTTTTTCTGCTCTGTACCAAGAGGGTGAAGCAATGAAACAGTGACAAGCCAGAGTGCTGGCAAAAATAATGCCATTGGTTATTTTCCCTGCAGCCCTCCCCAACCTTCACCTCCACCCAGCTCCCTTCCCAAGACGGGACTGGGGAGTGGATGGGTTGGCAGGCTCCAGGCCCCTCCAGCGCCCGGTCTCTCCTCCTCCTCTAGCATTGTGCTAGCTACAACCCCTCCAGGAGAACTCAAGAAGAAAGAGATGAGATTCTACAGGTCACACAAAATCTGAACACATAGCTTAGGTGGGAGGAGGCAGAACTCAAAGGACTGGACCTGGAGAGAACCAGGGTGCTTGTGTGGTGGGAACAATTAATGGTTCCCAAGGTAGTTCTTTAAGGAACTCATACTCCAAAGGCTTGTCACCTTTTCCAGCAGTGACCCAAGGCTGCCTTCCTCCCAGTGGGTCTCAGAGCTGGGGTGGTACAGTCCACAGAGTCCTAGACAGAGAGCCCTCCCAGCAGGTGTGGCCCCTCCTGCTCTCACACCTTGGCCTGCTCAGTGAGAGAGCTCAGCTTCCTGGAGCAGCATAGGGCCTCTGTGTGTGCTGTGTGTTGTTCCTGGTTCAGGAAGTCTGGGTGGGTCCCAGGTGACACTGCTGCTCATGGGAACACACTTGAGAACCATTTCTCTACCACAACCCCAGCCCCTCTACCCACCTGTATAGGACACACCCTTTCCTCTCCTCTGCACAGCCCCCTGCTGTTTGGGACCCTGGGTGCCATCTGTGGCCTGTCTTCCCTCTTCCTCTCCATGGCCGCTTGTTACTTTTACTGAGTGATGGGACCCTAGGTTCTAGGTACCAATAGGACCATCATCTTTGGAATGCCTCATGGCCCCTGTGTTGCCTGCTCTCCATCCTCCCCACTCCTACCTGGCAGTGCACTGGTGACACACATCCTGATCTCTGTCAACTGGCAATGTCACTCACCCAGACAGCTCCCTCAAGAATTGCTTCTTTCTCTGCCTCTACAGCTGCCCTCCTCCTTGTCATCCCCTCCCACTCTGCAGCCACATGCACTGGTGTCAGGATGACCCTCCCGTCCAAGAGGACCACCTCCCACTCACCAATGTAGTCAAAGCGTCCAGGGGCCAGGCACTCTGGCAGGTGTGCAGAATATAGGACAGAGGCCAAGAGTGTCATGGCCATGTGTCTCTGATGGTACAAGATGGCTTCGTTCCCTGCACTCTCCCCTGGGAACAGGAAGAGCTGCGGGGATTTAAAGAAACAGAAGGCCTTGAGAAGACTTCAGGCAGGATTCTCAGCAACCTGGCAAGACCCACACAGCTCAGCACATGGGCAGGTCCAGGCCTCATCTCCTCAGGTCTGCAGCCTGAAGGAGGGATGCTCAGGGAGGAAGAAGAACAGGAGAAGGAGGAGGAAGAGAAGGGAGGATGGCAGGGAGAAGAAGAAGAGTAGGAGGAGGGAGAGGAGGAGAAGGGCACCAGTGGTGGCTTACACCTGTAATCCTAGCTACTCAGACAGAGATCAGGAGGATCATGGTTCAAAGCCAGCCTGGGCAAATAGTTTGTGAGTCCCTATCTCAAAAAAAAAAAAAAAAAAACCCTTCACAAAAAAGAGTTGGTGGAGTGGCTGCAGGTATAGGCCCTGAGTTCAAGCCCCAGTACCATGAAGAAGAAGGAGGAGGAGGAAAAAGAGGAGGAGGAAGAGGAGGAGGAGGAAAAATAAGAGAAAAGGAAAGGGAAAGAGAAGAAAATTCTTTCTGGGGGAGTTAGGAGAAAGGGGTCTATTTGCACCTGAACTCACTTCTGAATCCCAGCCACTGACCAATGCTACTGACTATGGCTCTGAACTATGCACAAATATTAAGCATGGCTTCACACTGCTCCGGAGTTAAGGGCGGTGTTTGCGTTATTGTCATTACTGCTGAGGACGCCAGACCTTGCCCTTTACACACTCCATTCACCTGAGTCTCCACAATGACCTCAGCAGCTCTGTCTCTCCATTGTGCAGAGCAGAAACATGAGCCAGGGAGTGACTTTCAAACCACAAACAATCAGTGACGTTGGGATCCGAACCCAGGCAGGCCAATTCCAGAATCAACGTCACCATTTAGAATGAGACCTCCCCTCCCCACTGCCCAGCTGTTGATGCAGCTGTGGGCCAGAAGCACAGAGCATGGCAGCCATGCAGGCCGCAGGGTTGGGGCTGTGTGATCCAGGGTGCACTGTCCTGGCTCAAGTCTGCTCCAGGATGGAGTGAAAGGAACAGGCTGCATCCCCAGCTCAAGGTCTCCCCCAAACCCACCTGGGGAAGTACAGAGCAAGTCTTCAACTGCCCTTCCGTCCCCACACTCCCAGGTCTTGCCATCTGGGCCTCGTGCACTGCTCCTGGGAGAAGCCCACTCACAGGCATTGCCGTGTGCCAGCATTGCTGAGACCATCGGAGCCCATGTGTCAGATGGGGAAACTGAGGCCTTGAGAGGCAACTGCACTGCCTGAGATCACTTGGCCAGTGAGCAGCGGGACCAGAATTTGGACGCAGGCCCACCCAATCTGAGAGTGTATGGAGTTTCCTTTCCGTGGTCTGTCACTCCCACCTCAACCCTCCTCCCACCTATCCTGTCCAACCTTCCTCCAAACCCTTTCCTGCAACACCAGTGTGATACATTTATTGGTGGTAGCATATGACAATGATATGACAATGGATATTGACACCCACTGGCACTTGGCATGTCGCCTCCTTTAATTTTCCTCACAGACCCAGTGGTGTTCCCATCCTGCTTGGTTTATAGATGAGAAAAATAAAGACATGGCGATCTTGCCCACTGACCAGCAGGGGGCACTGGAGCTTTGCCTCCAGAGCCCAGTCTCGCTCTCGCTACCAAAGCCCAGGCTGCTGCTCTACCCGGCTCTGATTGCTCCTGAGATGCCTCTAAGGCCTCTGTGTTTGACACTCTAACCATTCTGCAGGTGCCATCAGGGTGGCACCTACATCCCAACTCCTGCATGTCCTGTGGTGCCCAGCATGGTGACTTGACCCCCAGGTGGCAGAGGGGAGTCACAGCAGGGTCTTACCCTGTAGAAGATGGGGAGGGTGTCCCAGGCATAGGGGTAGGCAAAGGCAAGGATACGAAGCAGCTTGCACAGCCGGGGCTTCTGGATTTCCAGAAACCTGGAAGGGAAGAAAGGGAAACACAGAGTTTGAGGAATTACAGTGCGTGAGCGCGTGCACACACACACACACACACACACACACACCAATTAACAGATGACAATCACATTCACACCACCTCCTGAGGCAGTGCTTCTTCACCAGCCTCTTCCACGTCCCCTGCCCCAGTGGAAGAGGCAAAACCTCAGATGCGATCGGGTGTCTGGAGAAACTGGCCCTGAAGCCGTGAGCAGCAACGGTATCCAGACCAAGCTGGGAGGGGCTGGGCGAAAGCCCTGTATGGACCGACTGACCTAACTGCTTTTGTGTGTGTGTGGAACTGGAGTTTGAACTCAGGGGTTTGCACTTGCAAAGTCTACACTGTACCACTTGAGCCACACCTCCAGTCCATTTTGCTCTGGTTATTTTGGAGATAGGGTCTCCCAAACTATTTGCCTGGGCTGTCCTGGAATGGTGATCCTCCCAATGTCAGCCTCCCTGGTAACTGGGATTACAGGTATGAGCCACTGGTGCCTGGCTGACTGAACTGCTTTTAATGCCCAGTTACCACCAGGACCCTGGGACAGGTGACACTGGCACAGACCCTGGGGTCACGGTCTGCAGAGGTCAAGGAGCAAACCATTGGTTCAAGTGGATGGATATCACACAGGGATGCCAGACTAGGGAAACTGATTAATATGAGGTCTTTCCTTCCATACTTCATCACTTCCCCCATCTGCCTCCAATGCAAAGACAAAGGAAGCCAGCATTGACTCAAGCCTTGCTGACTGGTGCAGAGAGAGGTGAGGCCTTGCGCAGGGCTGTGACAGCGCCCCCTCTGGCCTGGAGAGAGGTGGCAGTTAGTTGAGTGTGTGGGAGCAGGACAGCACAGATGGCTGGACACCAGGAGACACAGACAGGCAAGGAGACGCCATACAAAACCACAGCTCTGAGCAGAGACTTGAGTAAGGAAGTGCTCGTGCCCTGGCAGGGCTGCCAGGGCCGGGTGGCAGGGGAAGCACCCAGTTCAATGTTACAAGGCACAGGCAGGGCTGGGTTCTCCCTCAGCAGCCCCCACATGGTGGTGTCCAGAGGTTCAGCACTGAACCCATGGGGGCTGCTCTGCTGCAGTCCCCAGAGGCAATAGACACACAGGGCCCCTTGGTCTTCGCTATGCACTCCTGGGGGGCCTATGTCCTGTGCCAACCCTACCTCTGCTCCCCAGATCCTCTCTCCCAGCCCAGCATCTTCCTTCCTTCTTTCCTCCCTCCCTCCCTCTCTCCCTCCTTCCCATCCTCCCTCCCTCCCTCCTTTCCTTCCTGACAGCGCCCCCTGACAGTGTTTTGCAATGTAGCCCAGACTGGCCTCGAACTCCTGATCCTCCTGCCTCTGCCTCCTGGGTTCTGGGATTATAGGCATGTGTCACCATGCCTAGCAAAAATCCTGCCTTTTCTCCCTCAGACACCATCTGCTGCTCCTGTCCAGGCTCTCCCACCTCAAAGGCTCATGCTGCCTATGGCAGGAAAGCCACCTTCCTACACACCTGCCTCCGTCTAAATCCTCGGTAGGGAACCTGTGACATCTGGGCTGAGGGAGAACCTTCTGAAATGGCAGACCTGCATGTCTGAGGACCAGTCGTCAAGTCTGTGTCTGCCCTGTCTTCAGGGCAGCTGGGCAAAACCAGCCTGCATGGGAAACCCTGTTTCAGGAGAGAGGGGGCCACTGTGGGCCCTGGGAAGTGCACAGTTTCAGGACAAGCTCCAATTTTGCTCAACCCTCCTCCCACCAGCAGGTTTATTCTTTCCTCACCGCCTGTCAATCAGGAGCCAGGGGGCAGGGTCTGGGCGCAGAAGGAAGAGGGCACCAAACAAGAACCACAACGTCCAGATGAGGGCAGGCAGCGGAGCAGGGGAATTACACAGAGAAGAACACTGGGTTCCAGATCCCGACTCCGCCCTTCATAACCCTCTACCTGTAGCAGATTACTTCATTGTGCTGTGCTGAGAAGCCCCACGTGTGACCTAAGGTCAGTGGCTGTCCCTTCCTCACATCGAAAGGTGTTTAGAGCGATGCCCAGTTACTAAAGGCAGCTTTGAAAAAGCTGGGTGTGGGGGCTCCACTCCCCCACCTTCCTGCCTTAGATCTCTGTACACCAGACACTAGGAACTGGGAGGAATCTGGGTAGTTTGCTGGGGCCAAGTGACTTAATAATAAGCATTGCCAGGATTTAACTCAGGGCCATCCCGAGTGTCACACTGCCCCTGCCTGTCCCCAGCAGGCCCAGCCTCCATCTTTCCCCCAAGAAGCCACACTCCCACGACCCCAGGGACCAGGGTACCTGCCTCCACTGCCTTCTCAATCTACCCGGCAGACATGGCCCCCGTGTGTGGAAACCACCTGCCACACAGAGACAAACTCGTAAAGCGTTCTCCTCACGGCCACCTGCACACCTGTGCACAGACACTCCCTGTGGCCACTTGCACACGAAGAAACCTGCCTCTGGCTGGCGAGGGCTGTCCCCCAAAGCATGAGTTTCCTGCAACTTGAGACAACATGTCGCCAGGCCTGATAAAGTGCTTCCCCAGGGGAAAACGGACCAGCATCTCCAGCTGCAAAGCCGAGTCTACAGGGAGAAAAAAAGGAGAAAAAGCAGAGCAGGAGAGAGACAGCAACAGAGGCAAAAAGGCAGAAGAGCCAGACCTAAGCTTCCGCCCACTACCAAGATGCAATTCCATCACCAGCCACAGAGTGTCGCCACAGTCAGAGATTCTAGGAGTCAGCAGCCAGGGCCAAAGAATCCTCCAAACCACCCCAGGTCCCTGAAGCGTCCAAAGTCAGGCCTGCTTATGGCCTCCCTGCACTCCAGCATTGAGGGGCCAGGTTGCAGGGAGCCTGGCACCCCACCAGAAGTTGGCTGAGGAAACACTGGTTTGTGGAGAGCCTCCCTTAGAACAAGCTGGGAGGACTAGCAACTGGGGTTCTGAAACCACTGCCTGAGCTATGGGCACTTGGAAAAGGCATTCCCTGAGGGTGTGCCCATACACATGCGTTCTGTGTCCTACTTTGGAAAATCACAAGAAGTAGGGTATTCCTACATGTGGACCCCTGGCCCAGGCAGCACTGTGCCATGTGACTGAGGCTCCCTGGCCTCCATACGTGTCTGCGAACCAAGCCTGCTGAGCCTCTGTGCCAGTGCTGGCCCCCAGCCCCTTCCAGGCCAGCTCATGCCCTCGCTATCACTGCAGTTAGCTCCTGGTGAAGCTTGCTCTTCACTGGGATAAACACTCTCCTCTCCTCACTGACCACGGGCACACTCAGCATCTTTGTCAAAAGAGGTCTACACTGGATGTGCTAGATGGACGATGTACAGTGACAGGCAATGTACATCCAGCACCATAAATAACACTGCCACAGGAGTGAGGAGGCCTCACTGGGTTCGTTGGCAGGGGGCGGGTGCCCACTGGCTAGGGCCTCAGTCACTACCACACAGAAAGGATGCTCATTTTCTCAGCTCCCTCTCCAGTGCTACAGCATGGGAAGGCCCCACCTCGGCAGTAGGTGACACACCAGGAGGGCCATCAGGGCAGAAGCCAAGCCCAGGGAGATCACAGTCCTTCAGGAGCAAAGGGCTGGTTCTCAGAGGACACAGGGGTACTCCAAGTCTCCAGCCAGCCCCCGGCCCCTCTGCAGCCATTCCCCACTTGTAGGCTGCAACTCCTCACTGCTTCTGGGCACCTGTGCCCTTGTCCACCTGCTTGCTTTGCTTAGAAGTCCCCTTCTCTTCAGTTGTATCCCTCCACCTCAGTCCTGAGGCCACTTCTCCGGGCTCTGTGTATCCAAGCAGGTGTCATTTTGCATCTGTACTATTGCTTCCATTACGCTTTGTCCTGTGACACCTTTAAGGAAATAGGACACTGCGATCTGCCTTTTCTTTCTGAACCGGGTGCCCTTCAAGGACAAGGATGGTCACTCCCTCTGCCCAGCTTTCCCAGCTCTTCACATGGTACATGGAGCCTGGCCAGCCCATGAGAAATGTTGGGTGGGTGGACAGGTGGATAGATGGATGGATAGCCACAGATGTGCTTCACACAGAGACAAATAACCTGTTTCATTAACAAGGGAAGAAGCCCCCAAATGTGCTCACACAGAAGATTCCTAGTCCAGGTGACAAGGAAGTTCTTCTGCACATACCCGGCATGCCAAATGCAGAAGACCTGTCCACATCTACATCCACCATCCCTGCACGATCAGAGAGGACTTCCGGTTATCCCCGGGGCTTACAGGTGATTTGGGGAGCTTACAAAGAAAGCAGCAAGTGTTCCAGGAGTCTGCATTCTGAGTTATTGGGGAAGCAGTCTTGGCCTGTTAACTTGGCTACTTCCATAACCAGAAGTCACCTCTGCCTCCCTCCCTCTAATCCTAATCACCAGAGCCACACGGTCCCTAGGAGCCAAGTACACAGGGGCAGTGATTGGTCCAGCTCCAGGTGTGTTTAGGCTCCTGAGCCAGGCACTAGGCAACCAGGACATACCCCACCTCTTTTGGATTGCCCTTCCTTTTTTTAGGTGCTAGGCATAGAACCCAGGGCCTCATGCACGCTAGGCAGGCACTCCACCACTGGGCCAGTCCCCAACCTCTCACCATTACTGTGCGTACTGCCCCTTGACTCACAACTGCCTCTGGGCCACCGGTACGGTCCCCACAGCTCCCAACCTGGCCAGGAGGCTGAGCTTTGTGAAGAATTTTAATCTCCAGAGTCTTCAAGGAGCTAGCAAGGAGGACATAATATCCTCGAGACAGCTGGTTCAATTTCCTGACCCCACGGGTGGACCCTGCTTCCTCACAGCTTTAGGGAATCTCTGTGATTTCCAGGACGAGAGCCTCACCTCGGACCCCCAGGAATTCGCCACGGATGAAGTCACACAAAACCCAATGCTCAGCCAGCCGGCCCTGTGCTTCCACAGCCACCCGCCAGCCTCAGGGCTGTTGGACGGAGGACAGGTTGGGGCAAATGTTGCAGATGCTGTTTAAGAACCTATCCTCCCGCATGTAAAAAAGGCAAAACAAAACAGAACAAAAACTCGTTTATCAGGTTTGTGAAATGTGCCTACAGGTCCTCAGTCCCACAGAATGCAAGTGTCACACAGAGGAAGCTGGGACCAAAACCCGCCCTGGGGAAGTCACAAGGCACACCTCACCCTCCCCGTTCCTCCCTGGGGACGGTCAGCAAAGGGCTGCAGGGGCTTCCTAGGATTGTGGTTGGGGATATGGGGGACTCAGGTGAAACCTGCCAGCTTCCCTCACACCTTTACGGATGCGATGCCGCAGCAGGTGCTGACTGGACAAGGCCGTCACCTGGAAGGTTTCCCAAGTCACTCAGCTTTTGCCTATTCCCTTGGGCATTTTTGCTGAATAAACTAGCATAACTGTTCCTGTGGCAACACTTCTCACACTCACACCCCAAGGAGGAGAAAACACTGGGATCTAGAGGCAGCGAGCTGGGGGTGAGTGACGGCGAGGGGGCGGGGTGAGGCAGACATCTGAGCATCATTCACCCCCACCTCCGTACACCTTAGGGCAGGTCCACTCCATCCCTAAGTAACCTCCTCTTCCCAGGCTTGTGCAAGGCGTCCTGGGCATGTTATCTGGGGTCTCACATCCATATCTGTTGCCAAAGTGAAGTTAAGGAAGTGCCTTGCCTAGCAATAGACTGGCTGTGTGACTTCAGGGGCCAGTGCAAAATCAAAGTGCAAACTCAAAGTGCAGGACACTCTTGTTCAAACATTATTAAGGTTTTCAGAGCATTTAAGCAAGTGTGGGCTTTCATAACAAATGGCCCTGTGTGGCTGCAAAGGTGACATCCATGGTACCCAGTCACAGGGGCTCCACCCAGAAAAGGCCCCGGCTCCTGGGGCCCTTCCGCAGAGCCTGTCTCTTCCACGGACCCCCACATGCCCGTGGGCACTCCTCATCACCCACCAGCGCTCACAGCCCCCCGTACCTGGAGTAGCAGGAGAGGCCGGTACTCAGGATGGTATTCAGCACAGCTAGTGCCACATAATAGTCGCGGAAAGTGGTGTGCACCAGGGCGTCAGGGAACGTGTATGCAGAGTAGGCGATAGCTGAGCCTGGGAAGGAAAATGCAGTCTTGAAGACGAAGCCAGGCCTTGGTGCAGTGTGGACCCCTGGGACAGACTGGCCCCTGCTTCTGTCTTAGCCCTCATCCCCCCAGACCCTCTCAGGATGTCTTCCCCTTGCTTCTCTGTCCACCCAAACTTTATCCTAAGAATTAATGGCATTCCTCCCTGAACTTAAGCTTCAAACCCAGGCAGTTTCGTGGCAGAGGCCTCAATTCTAATCATGTAGGTACTGCCCCTGACAACAGCCCAGTACACTCAGCTTTCCTCTCACACCTGCCCGAGGACAGGCACTCCCCAGGGAAGATCAGTAGACCAGTGCTGGGGGTGGGGAAGACCCTCACTGAGGACAGGCATGTCCTGGGGAGTGGCTAGTGAAGCTGGGTGAGGGATGTGTTCTAGGTTTAGGGGTCTGACAGAGCCTGTCTGAGGACCTTCTAGAAACCTACCTACCGAAGCTTTTATTTGAAAGAGCAGGAGAGGGGACTGTCCTTTGCAAAGGAGCTAGGACCGCTCAACTACAAGAGGGCTCCTGGGAGAAGTGACCAGCAGGCCTGTCAGCCTGGGACCTAGGGTCACCTGTTATTCCAAGGCATCAAGAGCTGTGGTGTCTGAGGCTGACACAGGCCTCGGCCACCCAGATCAGCCTCTGCCTTTTCTCCTCTCAGCATGTGGGTCCAGTGAGCCACGGGCAGAAGGGCTGAGCGTGGACCTTCTGCTGCCTGTCACTCTTTCCACAGCAGCAGGCCGCCTATAGGGTTTTACCTGGGAACCACTCCAAGGGACAGAGTAACCCTTCTTCAGGCCTGATACCAGGGGAGACCCCTTGTCTGGACCAGGATGTTTTGGCTCAGCGGGTTCTAATGGCAGCCAAGGTGTGCACCAAATTCTGTGGGCAACACAGGGGCAAGGGAGCCTCTGATCCGCCCAAAGCTACAGCAGGAAGCAAACCTGACCAGAGCCTGGATACAGGGCAGAGCAGCAGGTGGATTTGCTGACCTTGGTCCCCTCCTGGATGTTGAGGCTGAGGTGGTATCTCTGATAGGTGCCTGAGGCAGGGAGGGCTGTCCAAGGAGTGGAAGAGATGCAGCACTGGATGCCAGGCTAAGGAAAGGGAACTTCCTCCCACAGGCAATAGGGAGTTACAAAAAAATTTGGGAATGAAGCATCAGGATGACCAAAACCTAGTGAAAGTGCATAGGAGACCCGGAGTGAGGAACAGCTGGATACCAGGGAGGAAGCTGAAGCAAGTGCCACCCTCAGGGTGGGAGGGGGGAGGAGGGTGGCTGGAAGATGGCTGGGGAGCCGAGGTAGAACCCATCAACTGCCTAGACCTTCCTTCCCTGTTTTCCGAACACTGCTCCACTCCCAACACTGGGCTGCAGGCTAGAACACGAACTGTGAAAGCCATCGTTGTCCCCCGTGATTGTTCCCAGCTGGTGTGGGGTAGGCACAAGCTGAGAGCAGAGCTAGAATGGAGGAGGCTGACTCAGAGTTGGGGACAGGGAGGAGGGTCACAGGGCAGGGGTTCTGAGGATCTCAGGGTAGGGAAGAGGCGGAGGGGATGGTATAGGTAATGGTGCAGAGAAGGGAGATGGTGGTGACACGAGGCGCTGTGCACAGGGAGCTAGTGCGGGGTGCAGGACAGTGCAAGGCAGTAGCTGACCCTGTACACTGAGGTTCTGACCCTGGCTCTGCCATTTCCATTCAGTACGACCTGGCAGACACCTTCACCACACCTCATTCCCCTCAGCTACAGCACAAGTGAACACCATGCCTACCTCTGGGAACTGCCGCCAGGGCTGGCAGGACAATCGTGGTGAGAGTTACCCTGTGGCGTGGGCCAAGTGCCAGGCTCTGTCCTCAAGCTTCACTCAAAAGCTTTTACTCAGGCTGGCTGAGTGGCTCAAGAGGTAAGAGTACCTGCTTAGCAAGTGTGAGGCCATGAGTTCAAACCCTGGTGGCACCAAAAGATGAAAAAAAGATTTTTACTCATCCTAGCACTCCTTGAGGAAGATGTTATGCCCATGCTCTGGATGGCAGAACTGAGGCTTAGGGACGGGAAGAAACCTGCTCAAGAGTGGTGGCACTGGGCTCTGTATCTGGACGGTTAAGTGAAGGTCATGTGTGCCAGGCTCATCAGGAGCCAGCCTGCACCGAGCAAATCCTCTGAATCATGGCCCAAGGAAGCAGTGGGGTAAGGAGTTTGGACCTCATTCCAGGTGGTGAGGAGCCTGGACTCTTTCCATGGGAGGGTGGTCTGGGAGGGGTGCTGTGGAAACCCCCCAGGCAGCTGGGGATCTGCAGGGCAGGGCAGAGGCAGTGGCTGCAACATGGCAGGTGACACCCTGGGGTCAGCCAAGGTGATGGGCAAGAGGGCTGATGAACCTGAGGAGAGGCTCAGCTGACCTTGACAGCTGAGTGGATGGCTGATGGGAGAGAAGGTGGATGGGGAGGCGAAACTTAGCACAGGGGTGGCACCTCCAGCCAGGGGGAAGAGAGGAGGGGGCAGGAACGGGAGGAGGCTGAGGTCAGTCAGGCTTGGGGTGGTAGGGACCTCAGATCCAAGGTTTAAACTAAAGATGGGGTGTGGGAGTGCCTTGACCAGGGATGTTAGGGGATGGGATGGGCAGAGAGTTCACTGAGAGTTGGGTCATGTTAGGAAAGAAGCCCGAGGGCCTATTTTGAGCACGCCCATCTGTGCAGGAGGCAGAGAAGGGAGGCCAGGAAAGGCTGGGAGGACAGGGAGATAGGACAAGAATCACAGCTGGAGGACACGTAACAGGGCCCCAAGTCAAAGGCTGTGAGAGGGTCCAGGAGAGATGGGCCCCGAAGCCCAAGTGAAGCCTGACAGGCGGGTGGAGGTGGGGCCTTGGCAACCAGCTTTAGCAAGTGGTGGGGACCGGAAAGCAGAGCACCGAGCGGTGGGAAAAGAAGTGGTCAGGACTGTGCACAGCACTGTCTGCACAGCCCTGACCCTGCCCGGCCACCGGAAGGTTTCCCAAGTCACTGAGTGAAGGAAGAGAAGACAGGCACAGGCACCTCCTGCACAAACTTTTGTGAGAGGAAGATGACTGGCTTTCCAACAAGACTAGGGAGGAGGAAGAGGCCAGAACCAGGATCCTGGGAGACGGACGGATGCCCACGTGGAGGAGAAGGGGTGGCAGGAGGAAGAACTCTCTAGTTAAAGAAAAAAACAAGGCTGGGGACAGCAGCACCCAATATCGCCAACTGGTTCTTCACTCAACTCCAGTGGTACCTTGAGCAAGTCTGCAATTCCTTAAGCCTCTGGACCAACGGGGGTCGTGACCCCACTCTCCTTTTCTACCAGGCATGACAGAGGCCAGCCCTGATGTGCTGGGATCAGCCTGTCCTGGAGTGTGAACATTTCAGAGTTCTTTCAAGCTGACTGTCAAACCAAGCCATCATTAAAAATTAAATTACAGGAACTTACATTGAAATAACTCACAGTAACAAAGTCCTACGTACTCATGCATGCCTCTCTATCCGTCCGTGGGGCACAATTTACTGCGCAGTGGGGCACACCTGTGTGTCGGGGCCATCATGCTGGGAGCCGGAAGAAGGGCATGGAGGCAGTGTTTACGCCACAGAAATTGGCAAACACCACAAACCAGGGCTGTCGACCCCAGTCAGACAGTTGCTAACTACTGGACAAGTGTCTTACAGAAGCCTCCCCAGGAACCTAGACAGGGGTCCTGGCATTCCCACGACTCTTTTGCAAATCTGTCAAAGCCTTATGGTGACCCCAGCTCACAGAGGAAAGGACAAGTGGCTCTGTCTCAGGGCAGGAGCTGAAAGAGCAGGACTTCACATACCCAGGCTGAAGAGGTTGACTGCTCCATAGTCCAGGAAGTAGCAGATGTGCCGGGCGTTCTTGGACATGGAACTGAAGGTGTGTGCACAGCTGGACACGAGGGGGTACACACAGCTGGTACACATGTACACGAGCATAGGCCACGAGTAGCTGTCATTCTGGATGTCCGTCATATACAGTGCAGTCACGAATCTCCACACAAAGAACCTGGAACACAGCGTGGACCACTCACTCAGCCTCCTCTTAAACCCTGCCTGACCATCTCCTGCCCTCTGTTCCTTGGCACGAACAACCCTTGTGAGTTCTCACTTTGGTGTAATACCTGGCACTGGGGAGGCTGGGGGGAGCCTCGCTCTAAGTTGGAATGGGCAGGTGGATAAGAAGAGAGGCTCTAGGTTTACCTAATCCCATCTCCTCCTTGCCATGTGGTAATGGAATCTCTCTTACAGCGTCTTGCCTCAGTGATTCTCCAGCCTCAGCGTGCATGCCTCCAAGGACAGAGGGGCTCATCACCTCCCATAGCAGCTCCGCGTGTGGAAAGTTCAGAGACGCTACACAGTTCTGCATCGGAGCTGCCTGACCCACGACCCACACATGGGGTACCACCTGCACAGGGCCTCACTTCTACACATCACGCCTGGAGAGCTGGCTCTGTTTCCCACAAGCTCCTCCAAGGAAGGAGACTACAAAGCTTTTTACCCAGTACCTGGGAGGAGTGTCACTAAGCCCTGTGGCTTAAGTGAAGGCCAAAACAGATCCCTCTGTCAAGAGATCATTCTTAGTGCTGCTTCCTTAGGGCATCTCCGTGCAGACTTCCCAAGCCCTCCCCATTGCTCAGTGGATCGTCTCCTGAGTGCCTGGCTCGGTGTAGGGAGCTGTGAGCATTGGAGTCGCTTAGCCAGCTTGGCTCAGCTGTGCATGGACCTCAAGACTCACGAACAGTGGTGTGCATTTTCTGCAAATCTCAAGCAGCCTAAAGCACCTGTGGTTCATCTACCAATGGGAACACCTAGCTCAACTTGACTAAGACACAGATGGTGGGATCTCCACAGGAGACCCATGGGAGAAAGGACAGAGGTTGGGGACACACATCAGAGTTGTTCACGCTAGCTAGAAGAGCTCTTGATAAAAGGCCCAAAAAACAAGTGGCCCCAACAGCTCACAGGGAGGAGAAACATGGGCTGAAGGAAGAGCCTGACTCTATTCCATCCTGCAACATTACAACTTATTACCATGTACACTTATTTTTTTTAAGACAGGGTTCAGCTATGTAACCTAGCCTGGCCTTGAACTCTCAATACCCCAAGGGTTGGGATTACAGCTGTGTGCCAGCATACCAGGCCAGCACGTTTTCATGTATATAAAAATTTCGTGATAAATGACCACCTTGAGCAGGACCTCAATATCACCCCTGCAACCTGGGTTGCAGCCCCCAGGGCTGCCTGGCTTCTCTAAAGATCACTCCACTCCACCCCAAGACTGAGTGTTTCTGTCTCTTCCACTGGGTGTCTGCTGGAATCAACTCCCCTTGCCCCAACCTGTATCTCTCTTCCCACATCTGGTCAGGCTGTCTATTCCCTTCTGGAGCACAGGGACCTTCTCTGGCCCATCTCCACTCAGCAAACTCGGATCCTCCTAGTCTCCTGGCTTCTCAACATGATTGAAAAGGGAGTCCAGGACCAGCCTGTGCCACCACTCTGCTGTGTGATGTAAGGAAGCCACCCCTTCGCCGGTTGCATCTATGCCAACCCACAATGGTCTGAATGGGACAGTGGCCTAAATGACCTCTGAGGTCCTCTTAACTGTGATGTACAGTTGACCTTCCAAATCCATGGACTCCACATTCTTGGATTCACCCAAAACATCCGGGGAGTGGGAAACTGTACCTGCACTAAGCGTATGCAGACTTTTTTCTTGTCCTTTCTCCCCAAACTGCAGTGTAAGAACCATTTACACTGTGTCAGGAGCCATATATAATCTAGACGTGATTTACAAAGGGTACAGAAGGACGTGCCTAGGAGATATGTAAATACAAGGGAGCACCATGGACTTCGGTATCTGCAGAGTTCGGGGACTGGTCCCCTACAGAGACTGAGGGATGGCTGTATTCGATGTGGTGTGTGATCTGCCCTACCTCTCCCATCATTAGGCAAAGATATGAGGTGTGCAAGGCCCCGTCTTTCTCAGCAAGGCCCCTCCTGGCCTTCCTGGAACTCTCATTTTTCATCACTGTTTCCCAGAGCCTTGCTCTCACCAGCTCCATTACAGAGCTGCCCGACCAAGGGCCCCCCATGGCTGTGGTTCCCAGAACACCCTCAGCTCTGAGCCTAATGCCTTTGCCAGCGTCCCCTTCCCAGTCCTCCCAGCAGCCCCAAGGGAAGTGCAGGCTGCCATGCCTGCTTCACAGGTGGAAAATACGGAGCTCAGAGAGATGAATTGACTCGCCCAAGCTAGAGGAAATTTCACCAGGCGTTCCAGAAGACCCACGAAGCCTCCGAGGCTGAAGGAGATGGAGGTAAATTACCATCAAATCAAAGGAAGCCCTGGGGAGCCAGGGGAGCCCGGAATCCTACCACGATCCACCGTCTAGGGCTCATTCCACAGCAGACCCAACTTCTCCCTCTTCCACACACTCACCAGCACCTGTGGGGTCCCCCAAATCCCAGCGTGGAGTGTCAACCCTCCCACCAACTGTGTTTTTGTTTTGTTTTGCGGTACTGGGATTTGAACTCAGGGCCTACACCTTAAACCACTCCACTAGCCCTTTTTTTTGTGATGGATTTTTTCAAGACCAGTGTCTTATGAACTATTTTTCCCAGGTTGGCTTGGAACTGTGATCCTCCTGATATCTGCCTCCTGAACAGCTGGGATTACAGGCATGAGCCACCGACATCCGGCACCAGCTGTGTTTTAAAGAAGCCCTGGTCCCTGGGAATCCTGAAGGAGACGGCTGATGGAGGGCCCAGAAGGTACCAGAAGGGCACCAAGTGCGTCCAGATGTTGAGTGTCTCATTGGTCATTTGGAAAAGGCTGAGCATACAGGCGGTGGCAGAACTCTGTGGATGCCGGTAGCCGAAGAGGATGCCCCGCTCATGGAACACCTGCAGGGGAGACATGGGGGCAGAGGTGAGCTGACAGGTGGTGTGAGGGTTTTAGGAGGGCTGTCTCCAGCTGGCATGGTGAGCCTGGGCACTTGACTGATCCCTTCACCTGTCAAGGGCTCCCCTCTCTCTCCTCTCTCCTCTCTCCATCCCCCTTCTTCCCTCCTGGGAGCTTCTAAAATCCCACGCCCTCCCTGCTGTCTGCAGCCAGTTGGAGGAGGGGCAAGGGCCAGGCTCCCTTCGGAAATCCAGCCTGTCTTTGCATTCCCAGATGCACTTACTTGGGGCATGAATGTTGCCTAAGGAGCCCTTTTGCACCCTGTGCCCGGGGCCTGCAGCCGGATCTTGGGACACCTTTATGGTTGGGTAACATAGATGCTGTCTGTCTGACCCAGCAAGCCCCAGATGTCAGGGGCCAGTGGGGCGATCTCTGCAGAAGATCCCCCAGGGCCAGGCGCATTCACAGGCCACTTCATAAAGGCCTTCTGATGACGTGGTCTATGATGCTCAGCTGGACTGTGGGAACAGGAGGCTGGCCACAGAGCAGGGCCACAGAGCCACCCCACCTAGTGAGAAACTTGGATTGGTCAGGTAGGACATGGGCTATTAACCTGCCTCACGCATTGTCTGACATCCACTAAAAACAGGGAGAGAATAGCAAAGCAGGAGGGAGTGATATTAAGGGAAGAAAAGTAGAACGTGAATTGTAGCCCCACAGGATTGTAAGAGCCCTGGGAATGTGACCTCGTGGTGGGGCAGAGGATGGGAGGACCACAGCCAAATGAAGAGTGACTTGGTGAAGGCTGTAGGATCATGGGAGACTCCCACCCCTCCTGTGGGCTTAGACCAAGCTTTCGCAGTTTTGACACTGGCATTTGAGCTGCATCATTCTTTATTGGGGAGGGGGGCAGCCTCTACATCATCCGGCCGTGTGCCTGTCTTCTACCCACCAGATTCTGGTAGCTTACACTGGGTCCATGTACACACACACCCCCATGCAATGTTGTGACAACCCAAAACACCTCCAGATATTGTCAGAGTGCCCAGGAGGTAACATTTCCAGTTACGCACCGCTGATTTACGTGGTTCAAAGGCTGTCACAACATTTGAAAGATAAATTATATGTGAGTGGGTGGACGGAGGCAAATGGTTAGAAGGACGACATTAGTCATCATGACAGAAGTCAGGCCACACTCATTCTAAAGCAATCCCTTTGGATTTCTGTGGGAGGGAAAGGCTGGAAGAACTCCAACCTCACCACACCTGTTACTTGGCCACCACTTTTCTCTTAGAGAGGCTGGGATATAGCTCAGTGGGATGGCACATGCTAGGTACACATGAGACCCTAGGTTCGAGCACTGAAAAAAAATGTACTATAGGAACAAAGACAGTATAAGCTGCTATGTTCCCAGGCAAAAGTCCCCGGGAACAGTAAAGAAAGGGAGGGCTACCAGTGTAAAGAGCCACTGATGCCCAGAGATGCCCAGTGACTTCGAGCTGTGCCATTGCTTTCAGCTCAGTGCCTCACCTGTGATGTGGGAAGGCAGTCAGCCAGGTGGTAGGTGTGTCCCCTTCTGCAACCACTCCAAGCTTTAGGCAACCTTCTGAAGGAAACATGGTTCCCAGGAGCTTCTCACTGTTCCTATCCCCCTCCCAAGCTTTTTCTTTCTAATTTTTTTATTTTTTGTACAGTACTAAGATTTGAACTCAGGGCCTACACCTTGAACCATTCTGCCACTCTGTGATGGGTTTTTTCGAGATAGGGTCTCGTGAGCTACTTCCCTGGGTTTTGAACCACGAGCCTCCTGATCTCTGCCTCCTGAGTAGCTAGGATTACAGGCATGAGCCACTGGTGCCTGGATCCTTTTTAAATTTTTTAAATGAACTAAAGCACTGGATGCTTATTAAAATGCAAAGGCTCCTGAAAGGAGCAGTTATTATTAATTATTCACTGCATATGAAATAGTTTAGAGCCTTGTTAAAAATTGCTCAATAACACTTATGAAAGCACAGCAAGGAGGACTTTCTTTGGGACTATCATGATACCTATGGAGATGACTACAGTGGGGGCTCAACTCTGAATACAGCCTGAGCACTAAGGAACTAACAGCCAAGAGCAGACAAGAGCAGCACGGGTCAGTGGGTGGAAAATTACTAAGCGGAGATGTAGGAGTAAGGGGATCTTGGCTAAGTTAACCCAGTAGGATTCCTATTGCAGACAGGCCAGGGTGTTGGGACCTCACCTGGGGATGGTGGAGGATGAGGAATGTGATCAGATATCAAGAATGGGGGCTAAACTGACTGGCAGGTGGAGAAAGAGACCCCCCCCCCCGCCGACCATACTTAGGAATCTAGTCCCAACCTGGGGAGGAGATTTTGTCACCCAAACCAGGGCTGGGCACAGATGGAAAGAAACTGCCTCTGTCTGACCTGCAAGGCTGACAGTAGCTGTGAACTAGGGAAGGATTTAAGGCAGTGCCTGAGAAACAATGACAGGTAGATAAAGGTGGATAAAAAGGGGGATCCCTCTGACCCAAGGCAGAATGGTTCCGGCTCAGGGTAAGAATGACCTGTACCTGCCCTCCCCAACTTCAGCCGCTGTTTATGGGACCACATTGCTAGTGCCTAGGTCCATTCCTGCTCTGAGCAGCTCTGAGCACAGGAAAGGAGACGCTGGCTGCCACCCCAGCCTCAGGGGAGGTCGTCCCAGATCCTGCACTGTGTGCATCCACACAGCAACTAAAGGAGCAAAACATGTGAAAACAATTTGACCTCAAAGGCAAATTACCACCATTGCCTCAAGTGCTGAAACCTGCCTTCGTTTCTAGGTGCCCCCAGGTTAGTGGGCACCTGCTTATTTGCACAGCAGAATTATTCGTAGGACTCCACTTTGCACCATGGGTAGCAGGCTGGGCAGCTTAGAGCAAAATGAAATCAAATCGAGTGCAGCCTATTATTTGGGAGAGAGCACCCCCAGGCACTCAGAGAAGAAGGCACATCAGCCAGCTTTTCCTTTTAATGCCTACCGCAGGCTCAGCATCCAGAAAGCTCTGTAGCCTGCCAACGCCTCTGCTCACCTGCTAGCTGACGCCTGAATTCCACCGTGTTTTAAATCTTTGGTTTTTTTCTAGCTATTGAATTGCAAATCACCTGGGGAAAATAACTGAGCATTTCTGGCTGGTGGTAAATGAAAGTAGATTTTGATAGCAGGAAGGGAAGTGGCAGGCGGGGACACCATTAGCAAGTGCACTTTGCATTTTCTGTCCAAATCCCACTGACTTCTCACAACCGCCCTGGAAGGAAGGCAGTGTCTTTTATAATTCCCATTTTGCAGAAAAGGAAACTGAGGCCTGGGGAGGTTAGAGAATTTATCCAAGTCCCCAGCAGCAGTGGGAGTGATGGTGAAAGCCAAGTGCAGACCAGACTCCACCTTCCTGGCATTGTCTGTCACTGCTGCTGCTGAGAGGGCTCTGTTGGGGGATGGAACTCCGATCCCTTGACCTGTGGTATTATTTTGGACTGTCAGGTACTTCTCTGAGCCTCAGTTTCTTCTTCCTTAAGCATCATTACTTAATGAGGAAGGAATTCTACTCCCTCAAATTCAGTGTTTAAGTCTTAAACCCCCAGAGCCTCTGAATGGCTCCTCCGTAGTATTTGGAGATAAGGTCTTTCCAGAGGTGACTAAGCTAACACAAAGCCATTAGAGTGGGTCCTAATCCAGACTGGCTTGTGTCTGTCATAGAGGAAGTAGGGACCCACAGAGAGACACTGGGGCAGTGTGCACAGAGGCAGCAAGAGGGTGGCCACCTGTCCATCTGTGAGCCAAGAATAAAGGCCTTGGAAGAAACCAACCCTGCCGAGACCTTGATCTCAGACTTTTGCAGGCAGAACTGTGAAAAAATAACTTTCTGGGTTAAGCCATGCGGTCTGTGGGATTTTGTTACAGAAGCCCTAGAAAATGAATCCAGTGCTGCAGTGAGGACTCACTCCCTAAGCCAGCGCCTCTCCCACTGTCTGCTACAGGCGTCTGCAGGTTCCCAGGGCAAACTGGCGAGGCAGCTGCCTCTGGCTTCAAAGCCCAGCTCCTGCCTCTTCTGTGTGCTGTCACCTCCAGCCTGGTTATCTTGCTTTGTTTTGTTGTTTTTCTTAAGCAACCAAATTTGATATGGAAGCAACAGAAAAAATAGATTTAATCGAAATTCTAAAAGCATTCCTAGCAAGGTTTGGCAGCCGCGGCTGGACTTGCTCACTAGGAGAACTGAGGCTTTCTTTCAAACAATTCAAAGATTGCATCGCATTCTACAAGTCTTCCCCAGCAGAAGGCATCTTGATGACTGACACACACATCAAATGTGGCCTGAAACCACTCTCATTCTTCCGGTGAGAAAACCAAAGAAGATCTGCTAATCCTTTGGATTTAATTCAGATAAGGTACATGGTACCTGCAAAAAATCAGTGGAACAGGAGAACAGGAGACACATGGCAGTGATTCTAGATTTGAGCTCTCCGCTGATATTTGTGGGATGTTGTTAGCTAAAGCCTACAATAGGGCTGGGGCGTGGGTCAAGGGTCAAGGGTCAAGGGGTTGTGTGCCTGCCAGCAAGCATGAGCTAGGGCCTGAGTTCAATCCCCAGGATCAAAAAGGAAAAAGCCTACAAAGGAAACCTAGATTTGGCTATTTCACTTCCAAAGGGATTAAAACACATATTTATTATTTTAGGTATGCATTAGATTTTTCTAAATCAAAGGAGTCACATATGAAATAGGTAATAAAACAGCATTCCAATAAAACAAAATTAAGTCAGGACTGTTTGTGAACTAAGAAAGAGAAGATACACAAACAAATAGCCCTGAAATATTAATTTCTGTGGAGACTGCTTTTCTGGAAATTAATTTTGGCTGAGCAAGGTCCTACTACTTTCAGTTTCTTTACTTTTTTTTTTTTTTGGTGGGACTGAGGTTTGAACTCAGGGCTTCACATCTTTATATCTTTTCTTTAAACAAAATAACCGAATAAGGACTGTACTACCCCATGTGTGGTCTTGAGAAAGTAAACGGACCAATATGAGATGGTGACATAGAAAATTAAAATATTTGGGCTTCTCTCTTAGGACCCTGCCAGCTCTGGGAGCTCCAATCTTTGCTACTTCTCTATCTCCTGCTTTACTCACAAAAAATTAAATTAAATTGAGTTAAAATATTTAATAGCTCTTGCTTAATGTGATCATCACATGCGGCCTCATTGTGATGTTTGAACTCGATATGTAAAGTTTATATTCCTTTCTGATTC